TTCAATATTTGCTCCGTATTTGGCCCCAACTGTATACGAGGGATAATGTAGGTAATTCCAATTTACCATGATATCATATCGGAAAGATGAGTAACCGTGTGCCTACTCATGTATGATTCCATAAAGTTGATCAAACTCATCTTGATATAAATGCCATCTTCCGACATTTCACCATCACACGATTGGTTGGGATGTTTCAGCCCGTCCTTTTTCCTCTGTCCCAATGCAATTGGCCCCTCTTTGCAGTGATCGCATGCATAGTCGCACACAACAACGCTTGTTGGCTTCGACTCAACCGGCCCCGACGCAATCTGAGATGACGGTTTGGGTCGCTCTCGAGCAAGCTCCAATTCAAGATCGTCAGAAAACTCTTGGATAACAGCGTGTCTACACCGATCGGTTGTTTCACAGTATTTGACAACCTTCGCAAAGCTCTGAAGAATAGCCTCAGTGTTCTGTATTTTTGCTTCTTCCTGGGCTCTGATTTCAGCAGCGCTGAGATTTTCGAACGTCCTTTTCCTAGTCAGCCGGACCGTTTCATTCGCAAAGTCACCTGTTTGACGGATACGATCGATTATTCGTATGCACTCTGAAGGGTTGTAGTAGACTAGAGAAATAGCCGCACAACCGTCTCGGCCCGCACGTCCAGATTCCTGTACAAAACTTTCAAAGGTACGTGGCGGAGTCCAGTGTACGACGAAGCGTACGTTGGAATTATCGATTCCCATTCCAAATGCATTGGTAGCAACGACGATGTAAAAGGCCGGAGAGGTTTGTGCAGTTGTTTTTGATGGATTTTTGTGGGGAGCTGACCACATTGACTGAATCCTCTCCCGTTCTGTAGCTGGGAGGCCAGCATGGTAGGAGACAGCCTTTATGCTGAGGGTTGTGCAGGAGCTTAGGATGCTTGCAATGGCACAGCACAGCGCTCTGAGCGGGACATATATAATCCCTGACATTGGAGGAAGAGCCGAGTCTTTTGCCACAGTCTCACTCTGGGCGCCGTTTGTGGGCTGTGATAACCTTGATAGACGACGCTTATGGATTGCTCGTAGCCAGGATATCAAATGGTCTATTTGGCTGTCTTCCGGTACTGTCAGATCATAGGCGCACTCCGGAATGTATTTCACCTCATAGTGAATGTTCGGACGAGATGAAGATGTGCTAAACCTTTTCAAATTACCTGGGTCCAATCCAAGCAAAGTGATAATGTCGTTGCGAACACGACTTGTTGCAGTAGCTGTCAAAGCGGTCATAGGAACAATTGGATTTTTAAGCTCACGCCTAAACCAGGACAAAGCTTTATACGCAGGCCGAAAGTCATGGCCCCATTCACTGACACAATGAGCCTCATCAATTGCTACTCGTGTGAGTTCCCCTTGTTGATGCACTGTTAAGATACTGCGCCTGAAAGTTTCAGTCTGACAATATTCCGGGGTCACATATAAAAGACGAGTCACTGGATGCCCTGACAAGATATCTGCAAGAATTTTCTTGCGCTTTGACACAGGGGTTGTTGAGTTGATGGTTGCGACTGGTATTGCTCTAGCTTCAAGGCTGGCAACTTGGTCAACCTAGTAGGGAATGGCATCAGTAACCGTCTTGGGGACTTATAGTACCCGACATGCCCATCATAATCCCTTTATATCTCACGTACCATCAATGACAAGAGCGGTGAGACAACCACAGTGACTTTTAAAAGCACCAAGGTCATATTCTTAGTATGTATATTAAGAAGAGTAAATAGGCGTGAAGCCAGGAGCGAACTAACCTCCATGGGCAACTACAGCTGGCAGCTGAAAACACAGGCTCTTGCCAAACGACGTTGCTGCCTGCAGGAAGACATCATGTCCCTCGATGGCAGCCTGGATAACATCGCGCTGAAGGGGCCTACTGGTGAGTTAGAATATACATTAAACATAGCTATAGTTTTGAACTGAGATAAGAGATGTACCGAAATGATCTTTTCCCAAAAACTCGACGCAATGTGAAGTCAATATCAATAGGCTGGCGACTCATCCCGCTGCCATAGCATCGCTGTCGACTTTGTTGGCCTCGACTTGGATTTCTTCTTGACGATGTTTTGTCTTTTAACACGATAAAATCGCGAGATCACGTGATGTTTATTAGCCCCAACCTTAATGATTCCTTCGGTTTTGTATCATTTGCTCAATTTCTCTCCTGCATCTCTTTCGTCTCTGTATCGAATATATATAAAAAAATTCTAACATAAAATGTCTAGTTATGTGTAGATAAACGGTTCATGCATCGCTAATATACATTATTATACAACAAAATGGAATGAATATTGATAATATCTTCCAATATAGATAACTGAACGCTCGGCGGTAAAAGCACGACGACTTAGTGACCCCTTCGTGGTACAAGTTCTCGCAGAACTGCTCGCACTGCATCTATATCTCGCTGCTTCAGGTTCCCTTGCCACAGTTGGTCAATTTGTTCCCACACACCAAGCACAGCTGTTCGTCCTCCACAAGTATAAAAGGCGCGAAGGCATGCAATAATGACCGTTCGGCCAAGATAGACGGCGTTTTCGTACTTCCAGTCATCCTCGAGTTCCTCACGAGCGTCGTTAAATGTACCGTGGAAAATTCTGTCGGCTTCATTCTTAAATTCCTCCTCAGCTTCTTCCATTTCTTCTGCCGTCGTCCGATGTTCTAACTCCTGGCCCTGGACAAAAGAGGTTTCAGTGAACCAGGTAAATTTTGATTTCCTGGTTACTGTGCGTTGTTTCGTTTGAACAGCAGCATCATAATCTCGCACAGCACGGAGGAAAGAAAGCCAGGCGCGCTGTAGACGAGGGTAGGTCCATGTGGTGTTTTTCTTCGATCCATGGATTGCAAACCCCTGGAATAGCAGAATATACACCATGCCATGAGACGGGATCGACAGAGTCCCTTCCATTTCACTTAGAAGAGACAGAAAACGACCTAGGTCACCAGTAATATGCGCATGGTAAGAAAGAAGTATGTGAAAAGTCTTTGCATCTGGTGTTAACGGCATGGCAGCTTGCAAAGCCCGATGATGATCAGGAAGCTTGTCATGCAGATAGGAGGTCATTCCAAGAACTCGTCCTAGCTGTTTGCTGGCTTTTCGATAAGCAGAATAGTCCTGAGAGGGCATTGGATACATGACTGCCTTCTCACTGGCGTCGGCTTTTAGCCTTTCATGCGCTTCCTTCATCCGTTCATACATGAGTTCCGCAAGCTTAGCTTCCCCCGAGCGAATCAGTGATGCAATCACGCAATTCAAAACCACAGTGTCCACTACTTCGCCTGCTTTGATAAAATCATCGTACGCTCGACGGACTCCCCGGGCGCTCCCTTTTAATCCATTGAAGAATATCTGAGCAACTCTGCCGAACCGAGAGAACTTGATATTCCGTTTCTTCATGTCTGCAATGATCCGTTCGGCTACTCTGAACTGACCAGACTTTATGGCCAAGTCAAAGAGGATGTTGAAGGCTACACTTGAACTCGAAATGTTGCCTTCGTGTTCCATCCGCCGCCATACACCAATTGCTGCGTTGAGATCTTCTCGCTTCACGGTAGAGGAAGATTTGCCTGCAAGGTGAATCGCCGCTGTCCAGAGGGAAGGTGACATCTCAAGCGAGGCATCACACATGTCGTCAACTAGCGTAAGATAATAAAAAACACCCGTACGGCCTCTACGTTCGGGTTTGGCAAAACGATGAAGTAATTTACCCCTTGTCCTCGCGCTGAGATACGATACTCCCAGTGAAGGAATTCGTTTATAAGCGGCAAAAAGCTCTTGGTCGGTACAGTCTTCCTGCTCGAGAAGAGATATAAGGTGAGAAACTCCGTTGGCTTCTAAGTCATCCTTTCCGGCTTGGTTGCGTGGTTGAGGAGGCACCAATACCTCTCGCTGAGGGTTAGACAAGACGACCTTTAGGCTTGTCGTTCCTTCAACATCCCCTAGTACACCTAAGTATAGCCCAAAGAGTAACTTTGACTCTTCAGTATTGGCGTGTTTTGCTCGAAGATATGTCTCGGTACCCAGGTCCAAATCCTTAGGGAGGGCACGCTTAGGTCCCAGGCCATGTTTCGGCCCCTTGACAACAACCGGGGGGCCAATGCCGTTTGATGTGTGGTCGTTCTCTTGCCAATTTTTTGATCTTCTTCGTTTGCAACTCCATTGTTCCTCCTTTTTCGAAGACTGTACATTGTTACGATCGGGTATATCGTCTTTTGATTCTGCCAGTAGGGCACCGCTCAATGTACTCTGAAGCCTTCTTGCAGCAGTAGGGATAAACGGTCGAGATGGCCCCATCTGCGGCGTGTTCTTGTGCGGTGCATGCTTTTTGCAGAATCCCGCAGCTACCAGGCAGCTTATAAAATTATCGGTAACGAGAACGCTGTTGGTCCGTACAGCTAGAGAGGAAAGAGACCGCCGCATTATACTAAAGCGATTCGCTCGCGAGGATCTCAAAGAGTCTGGTTGTAAACAGCACTGGCCCACGTTAACGATTAACTGGGCGCTTGTCGGCCTTTCCAAGCTTCTAAGGAGAGACATGAGATAGCTGACATGGTGTCATTGAATCAAGTTGCCGGTGGGAGGAGGGAGATATTGCGCAGATGGAAAGATTCGCGGCTTTGTCAAATATCGCAGCGCTGGTTCTGTTCCAAGGAATATAAAGCAACGGCAGATGAAGCAGAACTGGAGAAAAGCCGCTCATCAAGATGATAAATTACAGCTTGTTCTTTAAAGGAAAAATGCAGCAATGTGTTTTTCGACTTTTCCCCAGATGTTGAAAGCTGTAGAATTGATTTCATTTTTTTTTTGCTTACGCTTTGAATCGAGCGTGCACGCTGATTGGTCAAAAACATTTTGAGGTTCAAATTTCTTTTCAACGATCGAAGTTCAAAAACTTGGAGAAAAAAATAATACTTACAGCTTCAAATATTCAAGTTGCCGGTGCTTCTTCTGTTTTCCTCTACTTTGGCTCGGTGTCAAGGGACGAGAGAACCTCAATTGGATAGTTTCTAGCCCGTTTGGCTTCGAGGCTGCAGACATGGGGAAGCTCAACTTTGCAGCTCTCCAGGTCCGCCAGAGTGCAATCTCACAGGCTGCAGCAGGTAAAATACGCAATAAGCCATGCTGGATCGACATTGCAGAGAAAATTCCGCCGTCGAGTGTGCTGGTACGAAATCTACCGCAGCAACACCCTCTTACCAGGCAGAGAGTGAAGACGCTACCTGGGAAGACGGAGCCTCAGACCGTCATCGAGACTCGCCCTAGCCGCCGTCCGAAATCGAAGAAGCCCAGCCGTATGTTTCAACCGGTGAGGATAGAATTCGAGGAAGACCAGCTCCGAAGGGAATTTTACCGCGACCACCCCTGGGAACTTGCGCGCCCGAGAGTGGTGCTAGAGAATGACGGGAAGGACCATTTGAGGCATGATTGGAGCAAACTACAGCAGAGCAGGAAACGTGTGGATGGAGAAAGGTATTGCTCGTTTTAAACATCCGGCTTAGGGGGATAGGAACTAACGCATCGATTATATACAGTGTGGTCCAGAGACAGTTGCATCTTCTCAATACGGTACCCGACATAACCAAAGAGGAGGCTTATGACATTGCTCGCCGTGAGTTCTACAAGCTTCGACTGCAGGAGGATGTTGATAGGAGAATTGCTCAAGAGGAAGCCAGGGCAACCGGTGCCTACTTCGGCCTTGACATGAACACTATCGGAATGGAACTCGAGAACCAAGAATATGAGCGCTGGAAGGCGTGGGCTGAGACCGAGATCGTGATGCAGCAGAGCAACAGAGCAGCGTTCGCCGGCACTGAGATCACAGAGGCAGAAGCCGAGTCACCAACGGCTGGCGGTGACCTGAGTGCCCCGGAGTCCCAGCTACTGGAGTCTATCAAACCACTCCGTGCTTGATGTATATACACATGTCATGATATGATATTGGAGGGAGTAGCACAACAATTGTATATTATTATCTGTACTTCTTTCCATTTCCGGCCCTGTTTTCTTCTTCTTCTACTACTTCTTAGATTCTGACCCCCATGCTTTTGACTCGGCTGGAAGTTTCAACTATCATCTTCGCTACGCATCTATTGAAGGTGAAACTGCATCTAGTTTCACTGCCAGCTCTCCATCCCCAAGCCAAAAAAGCCTTTAGACAAGACACAAGACAGTACAGTCCTCGTTTCACCAGACATCAGCAAAACGGAATCTTATAATAAAAAAGAAAAGAAAAGGCGACTTTCTCTTCTCAACAAGTTGCTTCTTCTTCCAACGCGCCACCTGGAGAAAAAGGCGAAACCTCGAACCACCTCACGTGACGAGTTCCGTTTCATGTTGCGCCGGCGAAGAAGAGAAACGACGGCGAGGAACGTTTTTGACGTTGATAAACAAGAGCGCAGAAGAGAAAAACTTGATGATAGCTTGGAAGAGCTGCTTTTTACTGTGAAGAGAGAGGCACACACGGAGAGAAGAGGCTACCAGCACCGTCAAGACTGGCTGTGCTAAGTTATCACTTGGTCATACGAGTTAACTACTATCCAACAGCTCCGCCTCCCGAGTTCGCGCCCTTGGGAGAGCACAGAAACCACGCCTTCGCGGACGGTCGTTGCTGATATACTGCGAATCTTCTCGTGTATCGAATCTGAGAGAACTGTCGAACCTCAATGCTTGTGCTCGGTTTAGAGGAGATAGGAGAGTGAACATTATCGGAGCAGCATTATAACACTCTTAAACGCTGGACGACGTGCCTAAACGATGTTTGATTCCTGTCGACCTACGAGATTCCTGGTGGGATGCAATATAAATTAAACGGCGTTTATAACCCCTGGATAGGCGTTTTTAAATTCTTGTGAATTGCCTGTTGCTGGTCAACCGGGAATTTCCCCTTCTTTACTATCGATACAATGAGTCGCATGGATGACACGGTGCGGCCGCATCGGCCGCACAGGACGGATACTTCAAACGAGATAAAGGATCCTGCATATACCAGAACCGTCTCCCCGAACAATGGTCCTCCTGCCCGCGACGAAGTTTCTACAAGACCTCATAAGCCAACTCCGTCAAAACTGCTGGCCGAAGATTTGATCATAGAGCTCGCTCAGAGAGCGGTGGATAGCGGGATTCAAGATACAAAACGTTCATTAGCTGGAAGTGAAGCTGTGGAAGATGTCGTTCGGCCAAAACTTACCATCGACCTGGGTCACGCGAACATTGCCCGTGTTCCAGAAGCGGTGGTCAACATAATAAAGGATGAAGTTGCGAGGTGAGGCTATTCACTTTGGATATCGGCCCGTTGCGGGATACCCCTATGTCCCTACCCGTGACGCATATAAATTCCGGTACTATTTGTAGTAACGTGCTAACAGACACCACAAGGTTATCGCTATCGAATAATCATATTGATCGGATCCCAAGCCGTTTTTCAGAATGTGTTCACCTTCGATATCTCAATATCCGAGCAAACAATTTCGCAGAATTCCCGCGAGTAGTATGTCCTACCTTTTCTTTACATTTTTGGCCCCCTCCAGGTACTAACACTCCCTAGGTTTACAGTCTGACGTTCCTGGAAATTCTTGACCTGAGCAGGAACAAAATCACGAAGCTGCCAGAAGAAATCCACAATTTATCGTCGTTGCGGGTCTTTTCTATAATGCAGAATTTCTTGGAAGATCTCCCTAGCCAACTCTCCGATATGAGCAAATTGCAGGTTATAAAAGTGTCTGGAAACCCACTCAACAGTTCCTTGAAAGCCGTTTTGGAACTCAGGGAGGCGGATGTCAACCACCTTGAGATGGCCGATAATGAAAAAGATAGTGCAATAACCACCGAACTCAAAAGATTCTTAAAAAGCAGACGAGCTGCAGCATCTCCTGAACCTGAGTATAACGACCAAAGGTAACGATATCCACTCTCTCATCCAACTCCATAAATAACCGTTTAGTTTTAACCACTATCCTTAGTGAAACGACGGAACCACCGAAACCACCAAAAAGAGGAAATCGCTTTCCGGTCATACCCAGGTCTAACGGAACGGAGTCTACATCTGGCTCTAGGTCTCCTTCGTTATCAAGGCCACCGCCAATACCCACAAGGTCGCATCACAGAATGGCATCCGGCCAAAGTGGCCTCATTCATCGTTCAAACACTTCGGCAAGTGTTAGCGAACGCAACCGAAGCAATAGTGAAGGCTACATTGCCGGCTCAGCGGCGTCACGCAACAAGAGGATGGGACTGATCAGCAGGAAAAACACTGATCTTGGAACCCTTGATGAGATGCGCCCCTACCGCAACAGCCATCTACGTGGCCTGAGCCATGGCTCACTTCTCCGATCGCAGCGTTCTGTTATCACAAATGACGGCAGTAACTCTTCCAGTCCAAGCAGTCCAATGGACAGGAGGCGCTTGAAAGACGGGTTTGTTCACAGGCTATCAAGCCTCCCAGAGCAGAGGGTGAAAACTACAACTAAAAACCCTGTAATAAATTCTGCAAGAAGTGTACTCTACGCACTCTACCAGATACATCCTCACATATCGTCTTTGATAAATGTTATCAAGGCTGAAGAATACAGGCGGAGCAGCCTTGAAATCGTATTTTATAACGCGACAACACATCTCGATCAGCTTAACGAGGCATTGCAAAGCATTGGAGATGCAGATTTGCAGGATAAAGATGTTGCCAAAAGAGTTACTGAAGCTGTTAAACACGAATGTGCAACTTGCATCACTGCTTATTCACATGTTGGAACACAACTTCGCGCCAATGTTTCCAAAGCTGTGGCCTTGAGTGATCCCAAATATGTCCGGTCTCTCCTCCTCATGATTTACGGCAGCTTGATTGAACTTCGCAATGCGTGCACCGCTTTCAATGTGAAACCAAAGTCTCGAAGGCCGAAGACAGCAAAGAAACTATCAATTACTACCAATCAGCCAATGAGCAAGTTTACAGCCGAGCGCGAACCTGAACCGTCAATTACACCAACAAGGGAAAGGCCACCACCTGCTCGCCGACTACGAAGCGAAACAACTGTACATCTTCCGCCTTTTGCGCCATTCCCTACTGCGCTACCACCTTTCGCTCCTCATCCACCTGGTATTCTGTCCCATTCGAACCACCCACCGGTTCCACCGCTCACCATTGGGGGTAGAAGCCGTTCAAGCAGCCGGTCTAATGCATTCTTATACTCTTCAGGGGCCTCATCCATCGCAAACACCCCACGATCTGGAGAATCGTTCAACTTGCTCCAGACTCCAGTTAGCAATAAGATTAATCCTGTTACTGGGCTAGATGAAATAGAAGAGGACCGTATATTTGAAAAGATCTTCATTCAACTCTCTTCGGCATATAAGGCTACGCTCCAAGCTGTTCCGCTGGTTGCCCAACAGTTCTCGCAATGCCTCAAAGCCGCCGAAGAATCTCGAGCTCCTCAACACCTCCGAAACTTGTGCCGAAAACTCCTAGTTCGTTGTCGATCCTGCGTGGATGTTGCTGACGCCCTAGACAGTCGTTTATCCAACATGAAACTAAAAGAGCCTGGTGGAAACCTACGAAACCAGCGCGAATTTTGGCATCTTTGTAAGACGTTCATACAGACTTTTGTTGAACTAATTCTCGATATACGTGAAGCCAAGACCTTCTGCCTCCTCCCTTCAGAGATTGTCGCTACTCTTCGAATAGTACAAAAGACGATAAGGGAAGCCGGCCGTTTGATTGATACATCTCCCTGGTCATACCTTGCTGAACTTCACACCTCAAATCCTTCCAACACGGTATCACAACCTCAGAACAATGGCCACCTTCATTATTCGAACTCTTCAACCTCGATTGTATCACAATCTGGCCTAGTTAACGGATCCTCCCCCCAGTCTGCTACCGTGCCAGCTACTCCCCTAAGCGCTGCTCTAGGTCCTGCTGCGCAAGCGACCGTCCCTTCTACTACCCCGGCGAGCACCACCAGCATAAGCGGTGATCGCATGTTCGCTGGAGATGTCTTCCAGCGGGCTGATCAATTACTTTCCATGGCTCCTACTGCACCGCTCTTTTACCGCCGCTAGAATCCGTTCTGGCCTTAGATTTTAGATCTTCAAACCACGATACCCCGCAGAGTACAATATCGTATTTCAGACACACGCGCACCGCAATTGAGACTCTCACTTCTATATTTCATAGAGAACCAACCCATACTATTTCTATACATTTTCCTTATTCTCTAATCATATATGATTCCCCTCAACGAGCACGCATTCACAAAATTGTCCGTCACATTCTAACGTCTCGCAATCTATTTGGGCTTATCAATTCCATTTTGGAGGGGAAATAACGGTGTTGATAGCATGGTGGGAGAAAAAAAAATGAAAGGATTACAACCGTTGCTGATTCTTTACCATTTATATTTTTGGCCCGTCATTTAGGAGAACATGGGATTCCCCGGTTATTACACAGCGAGTTATGCGTTTGCCATTTTTATATTGTTTAGTTTTTATTTTTAGCCCGACTGCTTCCCCCCTCCCCCCTATATCGATATGCCCATGGATATGATGATGGAATATAATGTTTAAACTGATGATTCTTTTCTTCATTTATTGTTTCGAGAAAGGGGTCAGTTATGTTTAATGAACAACGCTGAGGATGTGAGACCACACAAGCGACCAATGATAACCTACAGCGCCTCAAATGATAATGTTATACACGCACCTAACCATCGGCTATTTTTAAATGTTATATGTTATTGCCACATAGCCCGAAGCTCCCTTGCGTATCAGATTTCGTGGTAAACCGTATTGGTTTGATGCCCTCGTATCTGCAGTGAATAAGTATTTTTTTCTCTACTGTCATTTGGCTGATCTCTAAGTTGTTTGCTCTGAATACAGCTGGGTTGTAAAGTGGACGGGTTTGTTTGAGAACCCGAGAGCGATGTGGCCAAAAGCCAACAGTAGTCTTAGCCCATGTCTTACATAGTATAATCCAAGGCCTTGTGATACTCGAGCAACGGAGATGGACATGGAGCTATCAAATACTTCTACAAGCATCGTATACGGAATGCCATACTACGTATTCCTAGATTATCAAAATAGTAAAAGGGCCTTTAGTAGTAAATCCTCTCAAAATATTTCCTAATTCACTAGGGATATCCCACATTCACTGTTTTAGAATAACGTCTTTGACATATTGGAACATCTCTTTAGGGAGATCCACTGGCAGAAGATGCCCACCATTAAAGAACAAATGATAGCTGAGCCCTCGTTCTTCATTCCACATCCCTTCCGATTTATCTTTCTGCCTGCCAAACTTCGAGTGTGGTGACTCCTGAAAGCCCTGGGCTCCATTCCATGTCATGTTTTGAATGGTAACCTCAACCCCAACATGATTGATAAGCAAATCCAAACCTCCTTGGTAGATATGAACAGGCAGCTTATGGGTCGTTAGAAGGTCCGGAAGGATGTCATAAGACGGAGGAACCGGTCGATTAGCCGGTGCCATGAGCGTCGCAAGAATGCCACGATTGCATGCCTCAAAGGGGCGTAATTCATCCATCGGGTGCATGAGGTTTAATGCGATTTGTACATCCGCTCGACTAAAGTATGCTTCAAGGGCCGGGGTAGGGTTGATGGCGGTGCAGTCGTAGTTGATATTGTATACACTGAAACATTCCCGGGAGCTTAAATAGTCCGCTGTGGTATCGTATACTGCACATTGGCCATAGCACGTCGAATTAAATATTGACAACTTGATTTTCTCAGGTGTATCTGGGTGTATATTGCATGATTCCGGACTTTCATCTACCCCCATTGGTAACATCATGCTAGCCCAGTCATTTTTGGAAGGTCCAAGCCCTCTAGGTAAATGGAATGGCCCTTTAGGGGGATAAACCCTTGCCTGTTGACGAACCGTTTCAAAGCCACATGCATGGTCTCCGAATGAGAGTGCGTTCATAATATCCTGGGGTATACGTAACTTCGAGGCATGTTCCTCAAGGAACCCTACAATCCCAAGAGAGGACATGCCAGTGTTGGAGCCAATTGTCCCATCGCCAATACTAATTGATGTTAGGTTCACTGACAGTTCACTCTTGCGCTTCATAATTTCACTGGCGATGTACGGGACGTAGATTCCCGCATATGATTCTCCCACAATGTGCACCTTTTTCGTCCGGAGTATGTGACCAAAGACCATGTCAAATGCAACTAGCCATTCATACAAGTTCGATATAACATGTTTATTCGAGGTAACTGGAACCTTTTCGGATGCAAAGCCGGTTCCCACAGGTTGGTCGATGTATAAGACATGGCCAAGTTTGGTCCATGAATATGGGTTTTTCTCTGGTCTGGTTGAGTTCCCCGAGAATCGCAAAGGGCCATTTTCAAGGAATGCCCCAATGAGTGAGGAGCAGCCTGGGCCACCATTCAACCAAACTACGAATAACAGAAATTTTTTTTAGAGACTGCCTTATTAACGGTTAAAATTCTATGTTATTTGGATGTACTTATGAGATTGTCATCGTAGGCCATGTCTTCGGCAGAGAAAAGCCAAAAGAAGAGTGAATTTCCCTGAGGTGTCCCAGGGATGTCAAGCCGGCCAGCCCAGTTCTGGGGTATTCCTGGAGCATCTGGCAGTGGTTTGGTCTCGAAAGCAGACTTTCCAGGTAAGGTAGTAGGCGTTGCATGAGGTGAGGCCCATGCCAGGGATATTAAGGATAACAGAGCTGTGACAAGCATGGTTGTATAGTATACGCTGTAGCACTTCAAAGCTACTAGTCGTATTGCCTATTTGGGAGGATATCACAGTAGAGAGAGCTGGGCGGTGAAAGGAGACTCCCGTAAAGACGACAAAAAATTATCTTGTAGTCTTAGGGAAAAGAGATAGAGTGCAGATTCTCGCCAATATATGGATATCAGAGGTATACGCCGTAAGCAGTCTCCGCTCCTAAACAAAAACAATTGGGAAACCAAGGAGGCTATACATAAACTACGACGTTACTCTCGGGCTTTGACCATCGAAAAACAACGGATTCCGTTCGAATGGCTACCCGTTAACGAAGAAATGAAGTGCACTACAATAGCACTCATTAATCCCGTGATTTTGAAAGAGAATATGGTGAACCGGGATACCTTCTTTTCATAAACAGGCGTACAGAGTACAGAGTTGAAGGCGCCGACTTTTTTGTGTGGAATTCGATCTTGAGAGGTATTTCAGTAAGACCCAAGCCCAGGAACCGCTCCATCCGCATGCTTTGCCGTCGACGGCAACATTGTCGAGCCTGATGAAAGAAAATCCAGTTGCATGTAGTACAGGACGCTGCCGGGCGGAGGCTGAGCGATTCCCCGTGTACCAAATTCTTTGTTCTCTTCAGACCTGACAACCGCTATTCATAGTCTCTCTAGGGTATGTAGATGCACCTAGCCGAGTATAGTTGGTATATGAATGCCAGGATCAAATCTCGTGTTCATGGGGCAGAGAGAAATCATGTTGGTTGCCGTGCTTACGGTCTCTCTTCGTACAGCACCCAGCCACATCGGACGAAAATAACTCGATGAAGACAGGGGAAAAAGAAAATCGCCATCTTCTTCCATCTTAATCGACTGTCAGATCAAATCACAATCTTCGACTTCTTCATGGTGATCGAAGGACGTTCGACGGAGAAAAAGACTTCGAGATGCCCTAAATTTGACCTTCGAACCCTAGATTACCGGATCGAGTTAGTTACCGCGTTGTTACTATTATTAATGCATTCTTATTTTTTCAGCCTTCAAATCCTTCCAGTTCTTTTCTAGATATAAAATATTACAACCCAGATCTTACATGTACGATAGGCGCTCTCAGTAGGAGGACATACGCCACACTAAGTACTGTTTGGCTGAGACGACGGCGTACGCTCTCAACCGGCATCGTCACCGCTCTTTTCGTTGAACCGCTATAGCCGGCTAATCCCTAATATACTTTCCCAGTGGTTTGAAAGTGAAGCGAATAGCCCATGGCATTATTGCTTATAAGCCCGCGCTGTGATGGGTTCCCCGGGTTTGGAGCTCACGAACCCCCAAACCCCCCCTCCCATGGCCATGTTTTAGGACCCTGCTGGGAGTGAACAGTCCACATTTGTGCGTTGTGTGGCTTGAAGGGTTTGAAAATGGTCGGTTATCCCAGCACCTCCGTATGGACTGACGCCTTGCTCATCCTGTCAGGCCAGCGTGTCTTGCATGAAGATGGGCGGCCGCCTCTCGGCTCAGTCCTGGACGAAACAGATTTATGTACCAAGATACGGAATACCCGGAGTACATACAGTTGTTTCCCGCGATTACTGACAGCAAACAGAAGGCATCAGCCCCAAACCTTCGTGTTCCCCTCGATCTTGATGTCGGTACTCTGTACAGAATACATACTCCGTATGTGCAGTATCATGACGTGAACTCACTCTCCCAAGGAAGGCTTGTTGGTTTTTATTCTCTCTGGGACAGATTAGTTATGCTGGTCCCACAGACTTGTCGCAGTGGGTGACACCACAAGATAGCAGAGAACAGAATACCACGGGTGGCACGATTTCCTACCCTGGCACGAAGGCTCCCGTCAAGGAGCCCTTCGTTGTTACATCCAGGAGAAGGACGCAGTGCAACTTCTTCGTGTCGAATTAATGTGATCTAGCTGAAACTGGGTTTTCACTCCACGATGCAGCTCGCCTTCTCCCTTTTCCTTGGAGACACAAACGGTAGGGAGCAGACTGGTTACCCTCGTTTACTAAAGTAAAATAGCCAAAAAAAATTTTTTTTTTTCAAATACAAGGCACATGCATGACTTCTACAACCACTCACCACTCATATTCCTTGCCATCACCAGCAGAATGCGATTGGAACAGGCTGGAGAAAGTGGAACTCCTTTTCTTCTACATATGTAGCTGCGCTTTTTCCAAGCGATCTCCCAGGCTACCTGCTCATCGAATACCTTGCGCTAATCAGGTAGCGTGGAAGAAATCAACTACAGTGCAGATCAGCATATCTATGATATCACCTCAGCGGCAAACTGCATGATGCAAAAGTCCATTTGAGGCTCCTTGTCGGGCGCAACTCTTTCCTAGGATGCCATCGATTCCGGGTGTTGGCAGGCGCTCCAGGTTACTTCCGTTCGACCCAACAGCCCCTTGCGGCTTTGACTCTTCATCCGGCCTGATGTCCTTGAAAAAGAATAAAGCCACCCTGTGCTCCGTCAAGTCAAGTCTGAGGACATGCCTAGGCGATACTGAAGAGCTTACGGACACAGCAACGAAATGCGGAAAGGTCACAAATGGTATGAAGAAATCGCTATCACTGGAGGATCCGCATCATTAAAAAACTAGTTCCACCATCACGCAATTCGCCTGCAACCATAATATGAACTTGGGTAGCTCAATCAATTCCTCTCACTGATGGAATCACCCATATTTTTCACTATTTTCTCCCAGTGAGCGCCAATAGCTGGGAAAAAAAATTCTTTGTTATCTATACGTGCATATCGGAGGCTGCTGCTGATTTGTTGGAGATTTCTCGCCATTTTTTTTAACTCCGGCCAACCACTTTAGCGCCTGTCGCCTCACTTTTCGAACGCGAAGATCCCTTGTTAAAAAGGAAGGGAATGGCGGAACCGTGAATAAGCTCCAGGCAGCGTTTTGTTTTCAATTTTCGTCTCGTCCTATACAAAACTGCCAGCTCAATTGCGGGCAGAAATTAATGTCTTAAAACTCCTTCACAACTTCTGACCTCCTGCAGCAGCATTTACATGACCAAGGGGCAGCAAGGGCGCCAGCTTTTCGACTCCACACTATTCAACAATTCATCTATGCACACAAATCCATTGCTGCCGTGAATCCTCTTCGCCTTGAATCGTGGACTCGCTGGTTATTTGCCAGATTTCCTTCTCCTCCCTTCGGCCCACCGCCCAACCATACATACTTACATACGATGCCCAAGTCCGCTTCGCTGTAATCTGCGCTCGGCTGTTTTTGTTTCTTTTTTCTTCTCTTTTTTCTCATTGATAGCAAATCTCCTTTGCTCGCCTGACTTCCCCCCTCACGCTGTCGTTGTTTCCCTCTGGAGGGCTTCTACGTCTTCTATTCCTTTCTTGATAGAGACGTTTCATTCTCGCAAACTCGATGAACGACGCACTTTAATTGCATCACTCATCGACGCGGACATGAATAACAACACCATTTACGCTCTTCGAATGGTATTGACCCCAATAAATCCTGCATATTGACAAAAAAGAAAGGATACATTTCTTTTTTACCTCTTCTCTCACTCAACTAAAAGTAATTCAAACATCTGAGGGGCGAAGTTGGGTTCTCCGCAAGGGACAGTGGTTCTATTGTTGTCCATCTTTCTCCAACCTCATCCTTTCTCCATTATTCTCTTGAACATTCTTCTTGAATCTTCCATCTGTTTTCTCTTCTGTTCTGTTGGAGTGAGGAGGAGCGTGAAGGGTGAGGATGATGGATTCACCACATAAGGCAAACCCATCAAAGGCTAGGCCTCATGGGAAAGAAAGTGAAGATTCGGGATACTGCCTATCTCACTCTTCTTGGATGGATAATGATTCTCAAAATGTGCCCAAGCAAGACTCGAGAGAGCAACCGAAGGCTTCTTCACATTCCCACCATCACCATCGGCATAGTGGTGATTCTTCTATGAGCAACCATGCAATATCGCAACACCCTTTGTCACCACAGTATAATGGTCTACGATCTTCTCTTCCACCGCCATCTCCATCTCCACCCCCAAACCCTTTTCCATATCATCACCCTGAACTTCCATATCCTAATTTTGAAGAAGCTACTTCCCAAGAAAATTCAACCGCTGAAGAGGCTGACGAAATCGATCTTGAGCGAAACGACAACGGAGTTGTTCCGACCATGGCTGTCCAAATACCTGCAGAAATGCAGTTTAATACACGCCAGATCAAGGTACTCCAGAAAGCGGAACGGCTACCCCCAATCCGGACAAGCACTCTCAGTGAGCTCGACTTAAACCACATCATGAGAAATATCAACCTGAGGATAGATGTCAACTTCGATCGTGAGCTCCATTTCCAACCTATTGCGGGAGAGAAAGGGCATGAGAAACGAAAGTTGGCGGAAGCCTATTGGGAGGCAATAGCCCTGGAAATATCCATTCATAGTTATCAATCTACCAGCAAAAAACAACAGAGCAGTCCGAGAGGGCACAAACGCGCGACCAGCGACTCGGTAGGGGTTTTTGAGCCAAGATTGCCGGTAATGCTTGAGACTTTAAAGGATGTCGTAAGCAGCCTGGTTCCTGAGCGAGATCAACAAAGCGTGATGCAAAATCTAGATGTGCCCTTTCTTTTACAACAAGTACATAAAGGTGTACTGGATATGATCAACCTCACTAAATGGCTTGCTACCTTATTGAAAACTCACTGTGCGCCAATGAGAGATCCATGGGCGGATAAGATGGTTGCAGAAATCACCGAAGGGTGTACAACAGGAAACACATACAAGATGGTAGAGGGGCTGAGAACCATGTTCGGAACACTTGAGTCAATGAAACTGGTACGTTATTATTTTTTTTTTTCTAATAATTATCATTGTTCATGCATGGGATGAACTAACACAACTCCTTTAAAGGATGTTGCAAACCATCAGATACGGGCATTTAGGGTGATCTTGATAGATGACACAGTTCGATTTTTACAAAGCGACTTGAAGAAAAGAATAGCGGCAAATACTATTGATATTCAACAAGCAAGGAGATGGTATCTCGATATTTGTCACAGACCGCTCTACAAGTCACCATATTTACAACACGAGTTGAAGGGAAGCTATGCACCAATAGCTCTCCTTTTTATTGGACTGTTTTCTTACCTTGTGCCTTTTGAACACCCAAAGAGGTTTCAAGACATCTTTGAGTTTGAGGCCGATAGACTCTGGTTTATAAGGGCTGATATACAAGATCTCATGGGACTTGAGATATGTTCTCGGGTGTTTGAACTGGTTGCTATAGAACAGGGTCGCCATAGCCCCTACTATCAGCAGGCGAAATCCGCAATCCCATCCCGCATATTCTGCATCCTTGACGATTGCCCCAACGGTATATCCGCAGACTTTGATGCTCGTCATGCCAACCCCAGCTCACCGAACGCGAATCACAAGTGGCAAAATAATATGAGCTTGATTGCTTTAGAGATCGCACAAAGTCTTTGTTCTCTCGACGGTAGCAACAAAGGCAATACTTTCCCAGACAAAAGGACTCTGGATAGTGTCGAGAAGTATCTTGAGTTCTTCTTTACATCTCCTACCGGTCAATCCCGCGAATTCAGCCTTTCAGTACAGCGAGATCTTGAGGAGGCTACGTTTGGCTATGTTAAGAAGTATTTACAGATGACTCCCCTGGAGATGTCTGAAGATCAACGTCCTCGAGAATACCCTGATCCTAAAAATTACACATTCTCCCAACGCCTACTCTTAGATGTTGATGGCATAGCCAAACGTCTAGCTCATATCGGAGTCTTGCACTGGAGAGTCTGGGCCCCTATATTATACCTTCATGAGGGGCCTGGTGTATCATTTGCACCCGGTAGTCACACTAGTGCAATGTACTCCACGGAGTAACATCTAGCGTCTTCTAGTTTACATCAATAATATCCTCCATCCTGATTCCTCTTGTTCTTGGATCGAGATATACCTGATACCAAGCATCTACTTCTACAGACCTGAAGAATATACCTGTTCCTTTTGTCTTGTTTCCAGTTTACTATAGACTTTTTTTCTTTCTTGTCGATACTCTCTTATTTCTTCTTTGATATTCTGGGTAATGCTGTTTGTTCTGCTACGATATTACGTTTTTCTAACTAGTTTCTTGATTCTACTCCGTTGACTCTTTAGCGATTTACTCTGGGAGCAAGCTATGGGATTTTCAAATGCTCTATTTGCCTTTTCTCTCTTCTTATTTATATTTCCCTTGCTTTGTTTCTTTTGTCAGCGGTGGTTTTTTTTTAAGAAGCGATTCATTTTAATAACTAGTTACGAGAGACGTATGGCTTACGGGGATACCGAAGATTTATAAAACACACAGGCTATCTTCAATCGCTTTTTATACATTTCAGTTGTACATATTATACGTTTTACTCCAATAATATATTTATTGAGCGTAATAAACGTGATAATGTTTACTCGCAGGTAAATAATGTTAATAATTTTGTTTGGAGATCGTCAATCCCATCACAAAACAACCAACCACCCTTCAAGGCACGAACATCAACACTACGAAGGGAATGTCATGATCAATACGTACTCTTCTTTAAGAAGTACATTATCTGTCACAATTCAACCGTAACTCACCATCCCTCTCATGCCAAATCATGCTAGGCGTCATCACCAGGCTCCAGGGTCTCAAAGTCCGGCAATTGCAAAATATAGCACTTTCAATCGGGATACTGTCATCAGGGACTAAAAAGGACTTGATCAACCGTCTCTCTAAGACGTTCCAAAAACATAATCTTCAACCGCGCGAAGATGGCTCGACTTCAAGGGACAACATGGTCGCGAGCAGGCCTCAAAAAAACAGAAACCCAGAGCCAATGAGCATTTTGAGCATAGATATGGGAATCCGAAACCTGGCTTATGCACATCTACTTGTTTCTAGTCGAGGGGTATTAGAGGCTAGAGTCTCAAAGACGGCTCAAGATAAGCCATTGCCATTTTCTGGGGCGAAGGTATATCTGAATGCTTGGGATCGACTTGCAATATCTTCGTTCCCGGCACCTGATATGGAGGAAGATCCTCCGACAATACCAATTTCAAATCTGGGCGGGCTAGGAACGACGACGCTAATACCCCGATCTTGTTTACAAGAGGAAGAAAAGCAAGTGGAAAAAGAAACCAAGGAACATTTCGCACCATATCTATATGCCTCTCACGCTTATACTCTTATTACGTCTTTAATGGAAGCATATAAACCAACACATATCCTGATTGAGCGGCAGCGGTTCCGGTCTGGGGGAGGAAGTGCAGTTCAAGAATGGACGATTCGCGTTGGCGTGTTTGAGGGCATGCTCTATGCCGTGTTACATACCTTACGGCGACAAGGGAAGGGGGAGCAGCTTGGGAAGGTGTTTGTACAAGGTGTGGATCCACAGAGAGTGGTGAGGTATTGGACAAATGATGAGAAGAAGGAAGAGGCAACGCCAGATTCGAAGAAAAAGGTCACCTCAAAGGAAGGAAAGAAGGCCAAAATCGACTTAATCGGGAGATGTCTATCTCGATGTACTGGTATTGGTGGCTATTATACCCCTACTGGCAGTGCAGCCAAAAAAAGACCGAAGCAAGAGATATCCATGGAGCTTGACTTGGTTGATGACAGCCAGGCAAGAGATATCGTTCATGCATATCTAGAAAAGTGGAATGGCGGAAACAACGTGTCGAAGAAACGGGCTACTCTAGCTGCCCTGGGAAAGAACAAGGGGAATATCGAGAATATTGGAAAGCTTGATGATTTAGCCGACTCTCTTTTACAGGGCATTACATGGTTAGAATGGCAAAAGACGACGGAAAAGTTACTGTATAACGATGCAGCCATTCCTACCTAGATTTTGGAAATTTTGAAAGGGATATCTCCCTAGTCGTTAAAAAGAAAACAATAAGTCAATACTCTAAGACAGAATTTTCAAGAAGTTATAAAAGGTTCGGTATCAACCAAACATCGAAAGAAGATAAAAGCTCGACCACAAATGTGGCCTGCTGTTGCGTAAACCATGCAACGTAGAAATGTTCTTAGAAATCCTCCTGATTACCCCAAGCCGTCATCACATCAAAGTTCAAACGATAAAACTCTCTTAAAAAGCACGTCCAGTTGGGTAGTGGTAGATTGAAGAACCGGTACCGTAGGTAGGCATACCGTTGCTAGGCTTTGGGGTAGGGTATGGAGCATCGGTTGATGGTTCAGGGACCTTGACAACTGGCTTGCTGGTCTCGCTGGTGGGCTCGGGAGCGTTCACAACAGGCGTAGTCTCAGAGGGGACAATTGGAGGAGCAGAAGCGTTTCCGCCTTCCTGGCCATTAGTTGGCTGGGGTTGCTAATTATTATAAGTTAGTTAATGTATCCTTAACTAATTCACTATAAAGGTAAATTCCCGACGTACAGCGGTGACTGTTTCAGTAACAGTAGCAGTTGCTTGGGTAACAGTAACGGTGACAGGAGCGGGACAAGAATCACCACCCGGGCCACCAACTGGACCAGAGCCAGAGTCACCAGTTGGGGGTTTAGGAGCATCGGTAGGAGCGCTGCCAGAGCCACCCTGAGAGGAAGTGGTACAAACGGAGGTGACGGTGATCCAAGTGGTAGAGGTGGAAGTGCTGGAAATAGTGGTGGTTCTGGACTCGGCAGCCTCGCCACCCTTTGGTGGACCGGCGGGAGTCTGAAATGTAACCGTTAGCAAATGTAAATTTTGGTTTGGCGTCTGGGCTTCAAGCTTACGGGGATAACGGTTTGAGTCTCAATGGCTAATGGAGCAGTAGTCTTGAAAGTGTATGTGGTGACGCTGGCGCTGGGTCCGGTTCCAAGGGTGTAGGTCACAGTCGAAGTAATCTCAACAACGCTCGGGTACTCAGAGGGCTTGGGGCTCGATCCCGTGCCAGTCGGGACAACAATTGATGTGATTCCAGCTGAAGAAGTGTCGGCTGGCTTCTGGGCAGGAGGCGCCGGAGCCGTGCCAGTTGGTGCGGGATATCCGGTGCTAAGAGGAACGCTCACACCAGACGAACCGACCTGGCGGTTAAAATGGCGGTATCTGTGGCGTCCATGGGAGGTGGCATCGGAGAAAGCAGCGAGAGCCACGGTAAGGGCGACGGATGTCTTGGTAAAGAAATGCATGTTTGCTGAGTGAAAGGGTCGAACTTTGCAAGCTGGCGATGTAGATCTGAGCAGAACCTATAAATATGTTCAAGAACGAGGGGTGCTGACGAAATCAATTCGTCTAAACGGCTCCTATCAAGGAATGTTACGTGCTTCTCAAGAGAGGCTATAATGGAGCAAAGAATGAGGGTATGGCTCTGCCAGTGGTATAAGGAAGGACTGATCGAGTAAAGAAAGACGACGAAAAAAAAGAAGAGTATAAAAACAGCTGCGAGGGGGCGGATGTCAAGGTATTTCAAGGCGCAACAAGGCTCAGGGGTATCAAATTCTCCCTCCCAGCATGGGCGGTGTTTTTCCGGCACGCATGCTCCATAATCCTAAAATGACACCCCCTTGCTGAAAGCCCTGGTGTGGCAGTTCGAATAACCCTCTCTCGCCATGCTTCCCGTCGTCTTATCTCATTTGAGCTGATACATATGTATCCCGGCCGCTCCACCGCCATTCCTTCGGCCAATTAAGGCCTCACGTTTCCCGCTATCTCGTTCCTTGCATGAAAGAGCCAAACACAAGTGAAGTCCCGAGGGCCAGACTTTGCCCAGTAGGGTTACAACCAACCCTAAAATCTCCTCGGCATAATCCTTACTGAAACTTTGGGCGGGGACGGAAGAAGGATCTGCTTGTTGTCAAGATGTTAATTTCCTCCTTCGTGTATTTGGTGTACATATCAGCCATTCAGTAAGAGGTATTTCGCGCGCTGATGCGGGAAGAAAAACTGTATCAAAGCCCAATATCAAGACCGACAAATCAGCGTCGCCATAGCTACATTCCTTCAGGCACACAACCGTCTTGTATGGTAAGATGTTGGGAGTGAGTTGTTAATGCAAGGGCCGACACCAACAGCCACTCATCTATCAGTGCCAGGAAGCGGGTGAGCCGGTGGGTTGCTGACCTCTCCACTTGAAAAAGGAATATTACCAAAAGTGCCCCCAAGAATGAGCGATGAGGTTTGCCTTGTCAAGGAGCTGTGGCAACGAAGAAGTTTTCCTTCCGTTTCTTTTTCTTTTCTTGCTTTTTTCCGTTTGATTAAAGTCATGCATGTCAACTCACGAGTGGCTCATTATGTTGCCGCCCAAAATAGTCCCATTTGTTTGTCATTTCTGCGCCTTTTCGCTGTCCGCGGTTCGTTGTTCTGTCTGGTGCCGGGCTACACAGTAATTATATGTTTGGTGTGTACTCCGAATGGTGAGGTGATACCTGAAACGCACCGTCGGCCATGACACTGCATGGCTTGTTACGTGTATACTTCGTATATATGAGCAGCGGCTCCCCCGTACTCCGGCCTCATGCCGAGTTGCATGGTCATTGCTTGGTTTTCTTCGTTCCTTTTTTCTCGTTTGATAAAACTGTCCTCTCAGGCTTCGCAACAAATAGGAATCGTCTGTCTGGAGTGTATAATATAATGTGTGTGCGCATATATATACATAACCGGGCAACCCAGCCGCAGTATAGAGCTTGAGCCCGACGAGGAGATTGCACGACCGTGGCGACACATAAAGATCTATATTCTTACTGAGGAGCTGGCCCAACAACAAACTGAATCGCAACAGTGTGTGTAACACCAGCAGAGTGTTATATCTGCGCTTTATTTTATTTTATTTTCCCTTTCGGAGACGAAACCGCCTGGCGGTCGCAGCCTCGCAAAGGCTTCGAAGTTACCAAGAATCTGTGTGCCAAGTATGTTGTGGTGGCTCTGTTGGATCCGCCTAGCGTTAAACATGGTAGTCTCATTGCACAGTATAAAGCCGGCTTGGGTATCCATTTGATAGAGATTATATGGTGGTAACGGCCAGGTCAGCCTGATAGATGAGTCTCATCCACCGCTATCACAGCCGTTTCGCCCCTGATATCCGTTCCTGGGCATCGCCGTGATACTGTCATGGCGGATAAACGCCGGAGTAGAACGACTTGATGGCGCCGGCCCTGTCGATCGCATGGCTGACAACAATCCTGATCGGAGGCCGATCTCGATGGCTGGTTTTAACTCATACCAGGCTGCAGACAAACACGCACCTCGGTATAGCACAGCTGCCGTCATCGCCATCTCCATCCATGGATGTGTTTACTGGTTGTTATGTCCAAGTCGTCGCTGATTTCCAAGTTTGGCTGCTCCTTTCACGTGATTGGGCTCTTTTTCAACGGTCAAGCTGGCGCAAAAAGAACATCTTAACAAGTCCTTCTTGATGGCCGTCTTGGTCACCTCGTCAGTCTCTATCACCACCAGGTTTGGATCTTGGTCTCTAATAAGAGCTCTACTAGGTGCTCTTATTCAAATAATCCTCAAATTTATAACCGCTAATATCTTGATAGGCATGCTGTAGAACGTACTATGGTGGTTCTACCTCCCTGGGAGAGGTTATAATCTTATATAAGTGTTCGCAGTTCGAAGCTGGTAAGGCTTTGGAGACTGGTCTTTCGCCAGTGGCGCTGTGGTTGATTCAAGCAAAAAATCATCAGTATCCTAACAGGTCTCCTCGCATTCTTCATCTGGTTCATCACGGTCAGAGCCCTCTACATATAAGGAGAGTCGTCCGGAACCCCTGAATTCTTCGTTTATAGGGAGACGTTTTTAATTTTCTCCCTAGAACCCTGCCAACCTAGTTCACCGTAAAAGGATACCAGGGGTATTATCAGCATCCATTACATATATCTTATTTTCCGGGAGTACGGAGCAAGCAACTCATCCAGAACTGTAGCTGGAGCAGCACTTAAAGGGCAAATACAATACCTTTTGTGATATGGTTGGGGAGGCCTGTATGAGAAAGGGGCTATGAATAAGGAAGGTTAGGGATTTCATTATGCCGCCACATTAGGTATACGTATGGCGAGACTAAGGCATGTAGAGTCCATGAGAGGGACCTTTTGAGAGCTCCAAACGGGAAACTCTCGAATTCTTTGCACAATTGATTGATTGATCGTCGACCTTAGGAGTGACTTTGCTGGTTAAACTTGTTTCTTATCTTTGTTTGGTTGTTTGGTTCCCCAAGTTTCATCGGTCCCAGGATACGGGAGTTAATTCGCATAGCATGAAGTTCGTTCTTCAGAGTAACTAAATTTCTTAACTAGTCTAGAGTCTCCAGGATAAGCCTTGACAGAGCCCCCTCCAAAAATAGATGTGGCTGACAAGCTGTTTGGATGTAAGAGAATTGACAAGGTGTAGTTTTGAGAGGAAGAAAACATCAAATTTCTCCCAAAAGGGAAAAAGCGGACGTCAAACCAAGAGGCCCATAGTAACATAGCGTATGAACACGTATAATTGCCACATTAACGGAAAGTTATTAACTGATTGCTTCTGAGGGTCGATGCATGGCTTCATCCCGCCTTTATTCCGTTGCACGCCAGTTTTGATCCCTCGGCGTCTCACTGATGGCAGCGCAGCTTACATCTTACGAGTCTCTTTTCTCGCAGTACAGAAAATCGCTGCAAGAGTTCGGTGCTAGCTCGGATGATTTTCGCCTCCTGGATATTGTGCCTCCGGATGGTGTACTCAATGTTCAGCCGGGAAGCCTCTATGTCTTAGACTCCTCGTTCAACCCGCCGACTATCGCCCATACCCAGATGGTGACAACTGCAATAAAGGCAGCAAATGCCAATGGCTCTCCGCCATCAAGGGTGCTACTGCTACTAGCAATTCAAAATGCAGATAAGCTACCGAAGCCAGCGTTGTTTGAGCATCGCCTTGCCATGATGCGGCTGGCTGCCGAGGACATCCAGCAGTCTCTCTCTCAGGAGGCCACGCGGGACGAGGGCGGGAATATTTGTAACTTTGTGATTGATATAGGGGTTACGAAACACCCATACTTTATGGATAAAGCAGTGGCCATTACGGGTGACGGTAGTGTTTATCCCAAAGAGATAGAACAAGTCCATTTGACGGGATATGATACACTGGTTCGGATCTTTGAACCCAAATACTACGCTGATGGAAATCTAGGCGTTTTGGACCCCTTCTTTAGTCTGCACAGGCTCAGGGTGACGCTACGAACTGGTGCCGATTGGGGTGATAGGAGTGAGCAGATGTCCTTCCTCGCTGACCTTGCCAGAGGGGATATGGAGAAGCTGGGTGCGAGGAGGGGATGGGCGAGTCGTATTGAGTTTGTGGAGAGCAATGCGATTGACAGAGCGCCGATGAGCTCGACTGCCGCACGGAATGCCGCCAAAGATGACTTCAACCTGCTCTTCAAGCTGGTCACTCCGCGGGTATATGAGTATATCCGGAACCAGCAGCTCTATGTCAACAATGAATGATAACTTGTACTGAGAGGGAAAAGAAGCCATTCATATTTCGTATGCCCTTCAACACACGTATTTTACAAAGAAGAATCCCCCACTATTATACACCAGACTGTTCCTATTTTTATCCAATCCCAAGAAGACCGCGAAATATATCATGATTCCTCGTCTTCCCGTGTCCCGAGCACATAGACCATCCCTCCGCTGATTAAATTCGCCAACCCAACACCCATGGCAACTCCCCTCACCATACCTCGAGCGCTCCATTTCTTCTTGAGCGCTTGCTTCCTCCTCCCTGCTAGTAGAACATATAAGCCGGACCACGCCGCATTGGCACCGGCAGAATCCTTTTTGAAGCCAGCCAAGTTCATATACGATGTGAGGAGCAGTACAGGCGGAAAGAGCATTGGCAACGGCTGGAAAGGACGAAAATGGAGTGCGGTCACAAAAGTCGCGAGTAACGTCGGCGGGAAAGGTGATTCTATTTGCGATTTAGTTGATCAGTTTCTCAGTGAGCTTCATACATCGGTTGGCTGTTCATATTGTCTTAAACATGACCATATCTTTTCTTAGGAGCGCCGGCTTGGAACCAAGTACCTCCCCATGCACGAGCATACTGCGCCAGTGACAGCTTTGGCTTTGCAGATGTTGAAGTTTCAAGCTCTCTAGCCATGTTTATATATATCTCCGGTTTATGGCTAGAGTAACAGTAGGTATCGAGGAAATGGCTTGAGTTCGGATCTCCTAAGGTATCAAGCTGATCGCAGACCAGCTCCGCAGCCCGATTGCTATCGTAAAAACGTGATAGCAAGCGATACTAGTTTTAATATCCTGTACTTGCTTGCGTGGAGTTTCTATTATTTTATTTTTTTTTTCTGGCTTTGGTTTGTACAAATCACGTGGTAATACGTCGACCTTTTGCGTTGCTGGCAAGATGAAATATTATTATTTGGAGGAAGAAACCCATCGCCAGCAACCTTTGGACACTTTTTCCCTTGGAATTCTGATATCTCGAGCCAAGTCCCATATACACGCTCGCATTGTACGCCGGGGCCTGTCCTGCGGATTGCTTGACCGCGCCCTCCCAACGTCATTTTGGATAGAACCACCCTGCGTCCCTAGGAGCATCTTTACAATTCCAACTTAGCTGTGCTGGTGCATTTACATCGATATACCGGTTAACCTACTTCTCGCGGTGTCCCGGCCCTTGAAAACCCACCCGAAAATATGCCGTCTGCGACAGCGTCTGGCGCCGATACAAGGCCCAGCGGCGCACACTCTCGTCAGCATAACCAGGGAAACCAAGATAGAAAATACACCCCAGAGCAGAAAGCGGCGGTATTACGAGTACGGAAATGCTCTGCTACGGCATTTTATGAGATTCTGGCAGTTGAAAAAACCGCGACAGATGGAGAGATTAAGAAGGCTTATCGGAAGCTCAGCTTGTTGACCCACCCAGACAAGAACGGCTATGAAGGCGCAGATGAAGCATTTAAGAGTATGTATACGCTTGGTGGGCTTAACCTTCTCCTCAAGTCCTGTATTCTGACCAGGAAAACAATGAAATATAGTGGTATCGAGGGCATTTCAGATATTATCCGATGTAGATAAGAAAGCCAAATACGACAGGTTTGGTGGCGACCCAGATAACAGATTTAACGCCGGCGCGTCAACGTCTTCGCCTTTCGGCGGCTTTGGAGGTTTTCAACAACATCCTGGGCGGCAATATGCATATGAGGAGGAAATTTCTCCAGAGGAACTCTTTAATAGATTCTTTGGCGGGGCGGCAGGCGGAGGATTCGGGCCATTCGGTATGACTATAGAGTGTCGGTTTCATAATGGGTTTAAAGCACCGATATAACTAACATACGCTCTAACAGGTGGCATATTTGAGGGGGGGCCACAGTTTGTCTTCAACATGGGTGGTGGCCCCGGTTTCCGTGTCCATCAATTTGGAGGAAATCGACCACGAAGACGCCCAAGAGATACAAACGAGCCGGATCCTTCCCAAACCCCTCCGGGTGTCGCATCTCTCTCGCACTTCCTCCCACTACTCTTACTATTTGTCCTACCTTTCCTATCAAATCTATTCAGCAGCACTACACCTTCTACACCCTCTTTCCGACTTCACACTCCTGATCCCCCACATACTCTTCAACGGATGACCCCTAAACTTAAGCTCAAGTACTTTCTTAACCCGACTGATATCGAAGACTATAGCCCGCGCAAGCTTCACCAACTAGATCAGAGAATTGAGGTTGATTATGTCGCGAACCTACGGCATGAGTGCCAGAGCGAGATAAACTACCGCGATCGGCTGGTTCAAGACGCCCAAGGCTGGTTTTTCCCAGACGTGGAGAAGATGCGGGAAGCACAAGATCTAGAGTTGAAGAGCTGTGCAAAACTCAAGGCACTCAGCAAATGATGACCCAGCACTCGACTCGTGTATTACTGACTTTTATTTGCCGTTTTATAACTTGATACGAATAGACAGCCATCATTCATGCTGAAAGAGGTTTCTGGGCGTTCTCTTTTCCTTTTCTTTCTACCACGTACATTTATAAATACTTTTAATATATCCCCGAAGTGCTTGGGACAAGAACATGAGCCAACTTTTTTTCTGCACATGATTGCCCTCGAAAGATTCGACCTTTCAATACGACTGGAATCATGCCCTCGATTTGCGGTTTTGTTGTCTTGTCAAAAGCTGCCATCTCATAGTACTCTATATCATCTTTGTTGTCGTTATTAAGGTTGGTGGTAGATGCCTGGGCTTATCTAATCATTGATGTTTATGACGATAAAAAAAGCTTCTTCAGAAGTTGAGATTCTTCTTCTTCCTCCCCCTCTTTGTACCACCGTGAAGTTCGTACATGGAGTATTATAAAATTATATAGCTCTTAGACCGGAAAGAAGGAGAAAAGAGCTCATCTCTTTCTGAGCTGACCGGCAGCTTGAAATATGGACGACATGGATGCAGATCAGGTAAAGTTCGCCCGCCATTGTCCTATATATCCGAGCTCTTAGATACAGTCACATAGACAACAGCTCACTCACTGTCCTAGATTCGCAGCAAGCGGCTGGCCAAGCTTGCTTCCCAAACTACGGGCTCTCCCTCGTCACCGCAGACCGAGCCCCAGTCTTCCTCAAAGCCCGCTTCGCCTCCTCCAGCCCCTCAGCAACAACATCCGCAGCCGAGCTCTTCGTCAGAAACGCCTCCAGCTTCGAATAAACCCTCAGAAATAAAACGCATTAGAATCACGCAGACGGGAAACCAAGGCTCATCAGCTAAAGCCCCGTATAGGCCTCCAGAAACTATAGAAGAGTTTGAAAACCGGACGCTATGCAATATATTCAGGCTTTCCCTTCAAGAGGACAGACGAACGGATATACACGGCCAGAAACTAACGTACTTGAGTGGAGTGCGTCAAGACCTTGAAGATGAAGGAGCTCCCATTCGTATGAGTGTCACCATCCTAGACCAGGCGTTGCTTGAAGCGGCTTCACGGGCAGACGACCAAAAACCTCTGTCATACTTACTACCATGCTGGAAGAGAATATCCACCCTGTCCAAGGGTTTCAAGAAACCTGCAGTTGGCGAACCAAAGTACGACATCATTCTAGAAGCCCGGAGGCTATGCATAGGATATTGTATCTTTGCAGCAACGATGCCGGAAATGTTTGGGTATGTAGCAGTGTTCCCTTTGGATACGGCTCTCTGAGGTTGCGTTAACAAGTTCAAAAAGGGTCGAGTCTCCTCCGTCTGCCCCTCTTAAGCCACACCTTCTATTAGACCCAGATGAAGATCAAGGTCTCAATCAGGAGTTCATTCAGGAGGCTCTAAAACGGGCAGAGGAAGATGATACAATTATTCCAGCCTTTGTTACGGCTGTTGAGGAGATGAGCAAGGATCTTTCGAGACTTACCCTTGATGACGATTATCAGCCTTATATGATGGTGAGATACTATGAGAGATACACCTTGTTTGATAAGATGGCTGACTCGTCATTCTATTATAGGCACTGCGTAACCTTGTTCGCTACCCAGCAATAGCCACTGCTATTACGGAGTCCCCCAAGTTTATGCCAGTGACTTTAGCATCTCACTTTGAAATACTAACGCTTCTCGGCCCGTGGTTTGCTCTCTCCCCCCTCCATCCTAACGTAACCCTCAAGTATTTTTCCAGTCCCAAAACCCGAGATCAACACTTTATTCTGAACGCACAAAGATCAATGAGGATGACACAGCAACTGGTGCAGAGTGAGTTATTAGATATCGTCAATTTCCTAATTAGGGCGTCAAAATCTGCACGAGAGAATGTGTTAGATTGGTTTGCGGCATCCTTGAACGCCAATCACAAACGTAGGGCTCTCAATGTAGACCCTAAGCAAGTCTCTTCTGATGGCTTCATGTTCAACATCACTACCTGTCTCGATCAGCTTTGTGAACCCTTCATGGATGCCACCTTTACAAAGGTATGATTCCTGGCCTAGATATATACACAATCCTGCCTATTGACTCTCATTAGATTGACAGGATAGAGTTGGAGTACCTTAAACGGAACCCACGAGTCCAGATGAGGGATGAAACGAAATTAAATGCTGATCAGGAAACATCAGATGCGTTTTACAACAAGACAGTGGAAGGACAATCAAATTTTATCACAGAAATATTTTTCTTGACTGTCGCTGCCCACCACTATGGCAGCGAATCATTAACTTCAAAACTCAATGGTCTTCATAAACACATTCGTGACATGCAATCACATATAGATCGTTTTGAGCTTGAGAGGCCTCGGTGGGCTTCTAACCCCCCACAACTTCGTATGTTCGAAGAAGCACTAAAGAAGTACAAGGACCGACTTGAACTTGGCATGGCCCTCGAATATGCTCTTCAAGGACTACTCCTTGACGAACTTTGGCAATCCAGGTCCATGCAATTCATGAGATACGTGATAGTTTGGTTGCTACGTTTGATATCCGGACGGAACTTCCCGAAGGAATCAATTCAGCTACCGCTACCAGATCAACAATCCGAGGGGTTGAAATGTCTTCCAGAGTACTTCCTTGACGACATAATCAGCAATTTTAAGTTCGTATTGCTGAATATGCCGCAAATCGTTACCTCAACCCAAGGGGATGAGTTGATGATTCTCTGCATCACACTTCTGCAGAGTACCAACTATATCAAGAATCCATCTATGAAATCAGGCTTAATTACTATTCTCTACTATGGTACTTTGTCCCGTCGACGAGGTGGCAGAGGAGTTCTTGTTGACATGTTCAACTCCATGCCATTCGCCCTGAACCACCTTCTCCATAGTTTAATGATGTTTTACATCGAGGCAGAATTCACGGGCACGCACACACAGTTTAGCGATAAGTTCAGCATTCGATATGAGATATTCCAGATTATCAAGTGCATCTGGCCCAACCAAGTCTATCGGGAGAAACTCTCGGTCGAAGCGAAGAAGAACTTGGATTTCTTTGTCCAGTTTGTGAATCTTCTACTCAACGATGTAACTTATATCCTTGACCTGTCGTTCACCTCCTTCATCAAAATTCATGACACCCAAGAAGAGTTGAACCGGGAGGGAAGTTCCATGGACGAGAATGCGCGACAAGAAAAGGAAGAGTTCCTGGATGGCGAGAAACGCCGCGCGAAAGCAACTATGCAATTGACCAACGAAACAGTTGCGATGCTTAAGCTCTTCACGGAGGCGTTGGCTGATTCATTTACGATGAAGGAGATTGTCCAGCGTCTGGCTGATATGATCAACTACAACCTTGACGCCATGGTTGGCCCAAAGAGTGCAAACTTACGAGTGGACAACCCGGCTGAATATGGCTTCAACCCTCGCAACATGCTGAATGAGATCACTGATGTGTATTTGAATCTCATGGACAAGGAAAGCTTCATTCTAGCTGTTGCTCGGGATGGTCGATCGTATAAACCAGCGAACTTTAAAAAGGCTGCCGAAATCCTTCAAAAGTTTGCTCTCAAGTCCCCAGAAGACCTGGCTAAATGGGACAGGCTCCAGGATGCTGTCAAGGCCGCCAAAGAGGAAGATGAACAGGCGGAAGAGGACCTAGGAGAGATTCCAGATGAATTTTTGGGTTCGTATTTAGGACTTGGGTATCAAGACCCTTATAGTTTGTTTACTAACTCTTTCCCAGATCCCCTTATGTATACGCTCATGGAAGATCCTGTTATCTTGCCTAGTTCAAAAGTGTCGATTGATAGGTCAACCATCAGGTCTCATCTTCTGAGTGATCCTAACGATCCTTTCAACCGAGCACCGCTGAAAATCGAGGAAGTTGTTCCAGGTGAGCCACGTCTATCTCTGTCATAATGCTTCTCTCTCTCGCTAAGGGTTGTGTCTGCTGACTCGTTTGTCCAACTAGATATCGAGCTGAGAGAGAAAATTGAAGCTTTCAGGGCGGAGAAAAGGGCTGCTAAAATGAACGCAACCCAAACGGAGGGCAGCGATAAGATGGAGACAGGCCCTGGTTAAATCTCTACTGTTGTTAACCTGTCATAGAGATTTGTTACTTTCTTTGTCATGTTCAATACAACGGTTTGAGTTGGCGTCTACTTAATATTCTAGCCGGTGCCCCATACGATAAACCCTCTTGCCTCCTGAACCTCCCCATCAGATCACCAAATTGGAGCCAGGAATCTCCCTCTCGCTACAGCTCGATGCATCTACAAAGCGATGTTCGTAGTTTTTTTATGCTTCGAAGGTTCGTCTCTAGTCAGGGGTGGTGACCCACACAAGCTCCAAACTTAATTGAGCCTATTTCGAGGTTTTTTTTTTTTTCGTCTAAACCAAACTTCAATGAACTCTTCAACCACCCTCAGCGCCCCCGGCCAAACCCCTTCCTGCGCCGCCTACGCCCTTCAACGATGGACGTAATGATGGAACCCGTTACGGAATGGGCCAAGTCTCTTCCGCCGCGTACAGACTTCTTCCCCGTTACCCAGCCTGCGTATGCGGTGCTGCTAACCGTTTTCCAATATTTCATCATCGTGAGCATCCCCAGTTGGAACGATAACTGCACGTTCTTAATATAAGCACTAACATACACTTATTTCCAGGCTCCAATTTTGCAGTCATTAACACCTTACTACCCTCAAGGCAAAACCTCGCTGTCGAAATCCCTTTTCAACCTACCGGGTAGATACACATGGTGCATCATGGAGAGTGCCGGAGTGGTAAACTTCATCTATATCATGTCAACCTCTGAACAAGGCAATGGCTTCTCAGGCCTATCGACATGGCATAAAGTCCTTGCCGTACTTTATGTTCTCCACTACCTCAATCGAGCGATAATAACACCTCTATTCCTTGCCCCAAGCATGTCACCTATCCATATTGAAATCGCCTTATTTGCCGTAGGGTTCCACTACATGGCCTCGAGCACTTTCGCGTTTTGGCTGTTGGGATATAAAACCGTCTTGGCGACTGCCGGTACCCCTGAAGCGCCGGGCGTAATGTACGACGCTACTATCGCCACCGCTCCCAAATTAGCTGGATACATGACTTACGTGCCCTACCTTGGCCTTGTGGTCTTCCTGGTTGGGATGTACGGTAACATTCAGTCTGAGAACACTTTATTCGAACTCCGCAAGGAGGAGGCGCATCGAAGACAGAAGAAGCAAGGAGGCGAAGTTGCCGTGAAGGGCAAATCCATATATGATAAAGTATACGTCCTGCCTCCGGCGGAGGGGTATTTCTCCTCGATACTCTTTCCCCATTATGCGCTGGAGTGGATTGAATGGTTGGGTTTTGTGATTATTGCGCTTTCAATCACGACGCTTGACGTGACACCTGTTGTGGGATCGGCTGCCTCTGTTGTGCCTCTTGCGCCATTTTATGCGCCCATCGTTAAGTTTTTGATGGGAACATGCAACTTGCCGCTTCCGTTCCCTGTCTTGTTGACATGTGTGAATATTGTAGCGACCACGGCCGTGCGCGCGCGCTGGGGAAGGACTTGGTATATCGAGCGCTTTGGTGAAAAGGCGGTTGGGAATAGGGGAGCGTTCATCCCTTATTGCAAGTGGCTGTGATGAGGGAAAGGCTTGGATGTTAAATAGTTCGTTAACAGGGAGTCTATTAAGGCTCAAATGATAGTTGAAATTGACTATTCTTGCCTTGATTTTCAGGTCGTCTAAAGAGTATCTCTTGAATAGCCGGTCAATGAATGCCTTGATAATATCTTTAAGGCAGAAAAATATGTCCATACTCTAATGCATGTTAGAGTCACTATGAAAGCTCGAGGGGAAGAGAACATTATTTAAATTTGTTGAATGCTTTTCTTCTGTTCATAACTTGTGATTCTGCAGGGGCCGTTAAGAAACTCCCCGAATAACGCGTAGAAATAAGAGCAATCTTGTAGAAGCTCCCTATTAACATAAGGTTAAAAATAAACAAGAAACAAATTATTAGATGGAAATAAGCTAAGATCTCATGAACTAAACGCCGATGTTGAGATCGTGGGTATTTTTCAATTCAAAGAGAAAACCATTTCCATTCCACTACCAGCCTGCCCGAATATCCGCTATGCATGTTGAAACACTGTGCCTTTTTTTAATTAATTTTGCGTTGAAATTTTTTTCTTCTTTTTTTTTGTCAAAACCAGTTCGTAACATTTTTTTTAACCGCTTAGGGAAGTTCTACTTGGAGTACTTTTGGCGGAAGAACTTGGCAGCATTGACCATGTTGATAAGGGCGGCCTTGGTCTCGGGCCATTTGCGAGTCTTCAAGCCACAGTCAGGGTCAATCCAGAGCTGCTCTGGTTGGAGGTACTGAAGCATCTCTTCGATGCGGGCTCTGATCTCCTCCTCGCTGGGGACACGAGGAGAGTGGATGTCATAGACACCTGGGCCGATGTGACGGGGGTAAGTCTCGTCGACGAAGACCTTGAGAAGCTTAGCGTCACTTTTGCTGTTCTCGATACTGAGGACATCAGCGTCGAGGGCAGCGATGGCATGGAAGAAGTCTTGGAACTCAGAGTAGCAGAAGTGGGAATGAATCTGGGTGCCATCAGCAACGCCAGAGGTGGCGAGGCGGAAAGAGTCGACAGCCCACTTGAGGTAGGCGTCGCGGGCAGCTCCAGAACGGAGAGGGAGACCCTCACGGAGAGCAGGCTCGTCGACTTGGATGACAAAGATACCAGCAGCCTCGAGGTCGATAACCTCGTCACGGAGAGCAAGGGCGAGCTGTTGGGCCTGGATGGATTGGTGGACATCGTCACGGGGGAAGGACCATCGGAGACAGGTGATGGGGCCAGTGAGCATACCCTTCATTGGCTTCTTGGAGATAGAAGCAGCATACTTGGACTCCTTGACGGTCATAGGAGCTGGGCGAGAGATGTCACCAACGATGATTGGCGGGCGGACGCATCGGGAGCCGTAACTCTGGACCCAAGCGTGGGTGGTGAAGACGTAACCGGTCAAACGCTCACCAAAGTACTGGACCATGTCGTTACGCTCTGGCTCACCGTGGACGAAGACGTCCAAGTCGAGCTCCTCCTGGATCTTGACGACATCTCGGATCTCTTTCTCGATGAACTTCTCGTACTCCTGGGCAGAGATCTCACCCTTGGTGAACTTGTTTCGCTGAACGCGGATTTCAGAGGTCTGGGGGAAAGAACCAATGGTGGTGGTTGGGAACATGGGGAGGTTAAGTTCCTTCTGCTGGACGGCAATACGGGCAGGGAACTCAGACTTGCGCTTGTGCATGTCTGGGGTGACAGCGTTCTGTCTCTCCTTGACCTTGGGGTCGTTAGTGTGCTTGGAGGAGGCACGAGCCTGGATAGACTTGGCATTGGCCTCGAGAGCTTCACGGACGGAAGCTGGGCCATCAGTAACAGCCTTTGCGATGACAACCAGTTCGCTGGCCTTCTCGACAGCGAAGCTGAACCAGTCATGGACCTCGGGATCGAGGTTCTTCTCGCTCTCGAGAGTGTGGGGGGTGTGGAGGAGAGAGCTTGAAGTGGCAACGATCACACGCTCCTTTCCAAGCTTCTGGATGGCGAGCTCAACAATCTCAATGGCCCTGTGGAAGTTGGTCTTCCAGATGTTTCGGCCGTCGACGACACCGGCGGAGAGGACCTGCTTGGGTCCAAGAGCACCGATGACGGTTTCGAGCTGCTCAGGGTTGCGGACAAGGTCAATGTGGATGGCGTGGAGATTCTGGAGGTGGGCGAGAACGTCAATGTTGTGGACGATGTCGCCGAAGTAGGTGGTGAAGACGAGCTTGGGGGCCTTGTCTCCGAGAGCACCGAGCTTCTCGTAGGTAGGCTTGAAGGCAGCCTTGACGGCATCCTTGAGGTCAAAGACCAAGACCGGCTCATCGATCTGGACGGAGTCAGCACCAGCTTCCTTGAGCTGGGCCAAAAGGTCGACGTAGAGAGGGACGAGCTTCTCGATGAGAGAGATTGGGTCAACGGTCTGACCACGGTCAGCCTTGGCGAGAGCAAGGAAAGAGACGGGTCCGAGAAGGACTGGGCGGGTGACAATGCCGGCCTCCTTGGCCTCCTTGAACTCGACAACTGGCTTGGGGTTGGCAGACAGCTTGAACTCCTGGCTGTTCTGCAGGGTTGGCTTGACATAGTGGTAGTTTGAGTCGAACCATTTCACCATCTCCTGAAATCATGTGTTAGCGAGGTATCTCCAAGGGAGGCAAGGGGGGGTGTGTTAGTGGGGTGACACTTACAAGACTGGGGACATCGACAGCTGGCTCGTTGTCCTTGGCGGGCGTCTGGTGGCCACGGCCCATGGCGAAGTACTCGTCAACCGGGTGCAGGCCATACTTGGAGTATCTCTCTGGGATAGCCTAGAACATGTATGTATCAGCATTGAAGCTCGATGGCACTAGAGAACAGGCCAGGAACGTACTCCGAACAGCTGGATGTGGTCCAGGACCTGGTCGTAGAAGGCAAAGTCGTTGCTGGGGATGAGGTCGACGCCAGCCTTCTGCTGGATCTGCCAGTGCTCCAGACGGAGTCTCTTACCCTCGCTGAGAAGCTCATCGCGAGAGATCTTGCCGCCCCAGTAAGCCTCAGTAGCCTTCTTCAGCTCTCTGAGGCGACCCATACGGGGGAAGCCGAGAATGGAGCTGGACAGCAAGGTCAGTCTTGTTTACATCGACGTGGGGGAGCAAAGCTTACGATTGAACCATTTTCAGGAGAGTCTCTCTTCACGATGGTATATTCTATCTTGTCAAAGGTCAATTGATGTGAAGAGTTGAAGTTGAGAGGAAGAGAAGAAGAGAAGAAGAGAAGAAGAGAAGAAGAAGAAGAAGAAGAAGAAGTCGAGGGGCGCCTTTTTTTTGGGCCTTTTTTTGTGGAGGGGCAGAAAAAGCGGGAGAAAAAGAGAAACTCCGATTCGGAGAGTTTTTTTGGTCACGCAATGATGACTAAGCAGGGGGAGGATGAGGATGAAGAAGACGAAGATGAAGACGACGACGACGACGAAGAAGTAGAAGAAGGAGAAGAAGATGGAAGAGAGAGGAAGAAGAAGAGTTCGGCCTCCGAAAGAGACTTGGAGAAGGGTCGGTATATTCGTATTTGATGTGCTTGTCGGCACAAGTAAGAGAAACATCCCACTCCGACCCCGAGTTGATATTGGACGGACAGACAGCTAACGGATATAGAGCAGACATACATTATATACCAGACATGAAGAGACGTCAGAGACGCCAGAGATGTCAGGAGAGGCACGGAACGGCCGGTGGCTGATATGGGAACAGCCATGTTCTTTCGCTGCTGCAGTTCAGTCCATGGCTGGTTCTTAGGTACATCTCCATGGCTCTTGTCCATCCTCAATATATATAGTTATATATGGATATGGATATGCGGCAAGCTTGTCTGGTTTGATGAGAAGGAAGAGGTTTCACTGCTGTGTCTCCCTCTTTCCATGTTTCCTTGACTTCTTGCCCACTTTTCCCTGTCTTGTGTGCCAGAAAGTAACAGCCCCAGCCATGTCACTCGGTGTCCCCCAAGAGAGACATACATCTCGTGTTTATCTTGACAGCTCTGTCTTTTCCTACGTGTATAGAGTATATACGCGTTGTTCTCTTTTTGTCGTTGGTGAAGAAGTATACCTTTATCAGCGATCTTTTTCACCTGCTTTAACCCCCTTTAAATTTAAGACTCAAGATGGTCTCGATATTCTGTCCATGGCGAAGAAGGCAGAAGAAGGTATCGCCCCGTGACAGCTCTAGCGACCAGTCTGCGCGTTCGCGTTCGCTGCCACCTGCCTTTGAGCCGATAACGTACACTCCCCTGGATCCCGCCGGTGAGGAACAGCAGATGCTAGATGCTATATTCTCCTCTGCAGGCATCTCCGCCAGCAACGAAGACACTCGAGGCCGTCGACCTCTGGAACTAGATGGTGCCATCTCTCGGATGCATTCGAAGAGTGGCAGAATCCGACTCGGGTCCATTGGCGGAAGGCTTCACAAGCGGTTTGCACGCGACGGTCGACTGCCGACCCCGGACCCTCCGCCGGAAGAAAGGGTCTCCATGTGTGATAGCGGCATCGCCAGCCTGGAGAACAAGGCGCTGCCCGACATACTTGATAGTGGAAACTCGAGTGACGTTGCCTATGACAGCGATGCACATAAACTACTCACCCCACAAATCACCGCACGGCTGAAGTCTGCTAGTCCTGCAAACCGGACGATACTGGAAACCTTTTGTTCAACGCCTGTCAGGAACAATATCCCGAGTCCACCGATGGAGCAGTTCCGTCTTGGTCTCGATGGCACTCCGGCCGGTGAGCGAGGAAGCCAGAGCACCGAGGTGGATGTGCCGCAGCAGGCAGCAAATGCTGATGACCCTTGTCAACGACCTTCTCCCGCGGAACACCCAGATTCACGAGAAAACATGTCCGTTCAACCCATTGATCGTGGCTCTGATCTCATGACGCCTCAGAAAACCCATTTAACTAAGGCCGCTTGTTCGAATGTGGATGATGACTTCAGAAAGACGCCGACGTTGACGCCTAGCGATCTTGGAGCTTCAGGCAAGCCAGACAAGGAGATTAGTCCACTCTCCCTAGCAGACTCTCCCGAAAGCGTACAGATCCACGTCACAGCGCCAGCAACAGGCACACCTCAGGATGTTTCTCAATCTGCCAGCCCACACCCTGATGTTACACAAATTAGAAGAAACGTTGGAACTTCAGTATACTCAAGCCCAGCATCCGACCCTCCTGAGTTTGAGTCGAATTTTGAGCCATGTCCTGTCGTTGAGACTCCAGGATGCCAAGTGAAACGGAGTTTGACCTCCAGTAGAGTCTCGCCAGAGAATGTACGGAAACAACGCGGGCCAGCAGCTAGCAGACCCAGAGCGCCCTCAATTGCCACCCAGAGAGACAGTAATAGCATATTCAGAAGAAGTCGCTTCATCGAGGACCTAGATGATGTGTTTACGTTGAAATTCGAGACACATGAGCATCAAAAGGAAAACGTCCCTGAAAAGCGGAACAAGGGCAGGCGGTGTAGCGACGGCTGGCTCTCTGGTGGTAAACGAGTGGGATACGGCTACAATTTCCCCCAAAGAGAAAGATATCCTCGGCTATCGTGCTCTGAAGGTTCAGCGGATGAGAGATACAGGTCCGTCGCCCGGCTCCAATCTATTAGAAATGGAGCCCGTTTGGACTACAGACTTCCTATCCAAGACTTTAAACGTATAACACGTCCACTAGATGGTCCGGGCCCGGGGAAAACGTCTACAGAGAGCGGCTATGTTACCAGTCAAGCTGCCCCATCTTATCAAAGTGATATGGACCGCACTGATCAACCAAGCAAGGTAACAAGCGCATTTGCATCACTTGCGAAGAAAGTTCGCAAGCACAGAAGAGACGAGAGTGACTACACCGCAACATCCAGCCATTCAGACCCATCCCATGGACTAGAACCGTTTCCACAACGGTACCCTGAAGCAGATCTAGAACTGCCTGTTGGTTTCGATCCAGCACGTCGAGACATGGGTAGTTCTGCATACAACCGCAATCCAGCCACTGTCAAGCTTGTTAAAGCGCTCCAAAGGTCCTCAAGCCTAGCCGCAGAGCACTCTAATCAATGCCAGATGGTATATGACGAGATCACGGGCGGGTACAGTGACGAGGACGATGACAATGTACTGCCCGAGCCAATGACCGCTGAGGTGTGGTCCAGGCTGTATGATGACTGTCTCGAAACAACTGATTGATAATAGCCTATTCCATGCCGTTCATTCCTTGCCTTTTTCATTTGTTGGATACCCGTGTTGGAGAGGGAAACAAAGTGTTTACTGTTGGTTATTCATGGCGGTGAATTGGTTAGCTGTATAAAATACCTTTGTATATGATAATAGACAAAACGTCCATGGTCCCTACATTCGCTGCTGCTCTGGCGGTGATAAAATGAGGTATCATTGAAAAGTGCTAGATGATAAAAAATACAGAGCAGAGCCATTAATATTATAATACTCCTCGATCATCTCTTTTGTTTTTTAGCGCTTTTATCACTAACCACGCTAAGCACACTGGCACTTCGTTTATGAGCAGCTCCAGATCCCTTCATAGGCGAGCTTGCCGCTGCCTCTGCTTTCACAGGCGCAGCTTTTCCAGGAGACGTCGCCTTAGCTTCAGCCTCGGTCGCTTCTTTAGTTCCAGAAGCCCCTGCTGTATCTGAAATATTCGCCGTGCCCACGGTGCCATCGGCATCGTCATTACCATTAATAGAGATACCTGCTTTCTCATTCTCCCTCCTCTCTCTTTCCAGCTTGCTAGCTTCCAAAACACGGATCTCACCCTCCACTTTCTCAGCAAATTTACGAGTATCAAGCAGCAAGTTGACCTGGTGAATCAGCTTCTCGAATTCCTTGCATACTCTCTCTGTAGGCATGAAGAGGCGCGGTGGGATATCCAGCTCTGTAAGGGCGGCAGCAAGCTTCTGGGATTGGATGTTGGATTTGGCCTGGGTGAGTTTTTGGGCTTTGTCGTTTCGGAACTGAACGCCGGAAGTTAAGCGGTCGTGGTGTGTGACGCCGTATTTCACTTCTTCGCTTGGTGTGAGGGTTCGAACCGTTGGCTGGGCCGCTGCATTCGCAGCTGCTCCTTTCTTGTTGTTGCTTTGGGCAGCTGGAGTTGGAGCTGGAGTTTCCGGTCTGCTTTCACGGGCTGACGGTCCCCCTGGAGGGACGCTTCCTACCGGACTTGATACACCTGTGTCCGGACCGAGAAGTGGACGACGCTTCTTGTTCTTATCCGCTTGTAGAAGAGATTGTAATAGTTGGGATAAGCCTTGGCTGGTCTGGTACATGGCGGTATTGCCAGTGCTGACTGGCGCCTCGAGCCGCGCATATAGCTCCTTTCTCTCGTCTATAAATTGGCTCTCGTTGGCAACGATCCTCTTCAGTTCTTCGAGCAGCAGAGCTTCCTCGTTAACTTCCTCCTTGGTCCTATTTAGCTGAGTGTTGGCCAGTTCCTTTCGGGCCCTCTCCCGCTCAGGGTTAAATTTCATCATCTTTTCGTGAATGTCAAACTCCGCTTCTGACATTTCGGATAGCGGATGTTCGAGTGCCAGCATGTGAGCTGCAACATTATAGTATCGCGATTTCATCTCTTCCATCGTTCGACGTTTAGTTGGAGCGACGAGTGCCGTTGACGAACTGCCATCCGCCATTGCAGGGTTATTCGGAGGAAAGTCATATCGATCGGCGATTACTATCCATCTCAAGTCAAACTCTTCGACGAGATCCATAAGATAGTCTGTTTCCTCGCGACTCCATATATCACTCTTCAAGAGTTTGTCGTATTCCTCTGTCGTATATCTCCGGGGATGCTGAGCCTTAATGTTATACTTCGCAAAGGAAGACGTATCTTCAGGTTCTGTAGCAGAAGTGTCTTCTGTTACCCTGTCTGAGGCGCCTTCCTGCCCGGGTTCAGCGTTTGGCGGCGGATTTTTAGCCACAGGTTTCCTTTTCCAATGCTTTAATATAAGATCGTCATTTCGGGCAGCGTTCTTGAACGGAGTCACGTCCCTATAGAAACTCATAGTCAGTAAACATAGAATATCGCGATATAACGCATCAGAAACCACCTACCATGGCCTCACTTTAAGCTTGCTCATCCATTTCCGCCGCCCTTTGTACTTGTTCTCGTTCAGGGCAATAGGAGGCGCGCGCTCCCCCAGTAAAGCGTATAGCTCTCTTGTAATACCCTCTGTACAAACCGACAGTTAGGAACACAGAATAGAATATCGCAGAGGAATCAAATCCTACCAGGTCTCTTCTCCACGACTTTCTGCTTTTTGGCCGGCCTGGGTTGCCCATCCGCAGGCAGATCAAGCATATCACGAACATCTGCGGCCGCCATGATTCGCTCTCACCTCGTCGTATACCGGACGCTCTATCAGTTAAAAAACACCTTCTCTCCTAGCCGGCGGAAGAGTTAGATATGAGTTGAGAAATTTGCTGCCTGCTTGTCTTTGCTTGTATGCGCGGCGAAAGTGGTTTTTCTTAAGTTGGCTGCGAGCGCGCTCGTTGATTGGCCAACTCCGGGCCAGGTAAGCGTTTCTCTTCCTGAAGCACTCAAAAAAACACCGTCAAATCCACCAAATTCACCTATAAAGGGGCATTCAGCGCAGCATAGTCGAGCAGAGAATAGGCTGTTTGCTGCCTCGATTTTATCTCTTGTGAAGGAATATCCAGGAAAATGGCTTTTTCGAGGTCGCAGCCGTCGTGGCTGTCGATGTTCTTCTCTATAGTTACCATCCTGACACTTTCTACTCCTGTTCAATCCCTATACTTCTACGTCCACGGGCGACAGCCAAAGTGTTTCTATGAAGAATTGCCCAAGGACACTCTGGTAGTCGGTCAGTTGGAATCCCTGCGATCTTTCAAAGTGCCCCGTTGGAGGTAATAGTCAAACTAACACTCGATAACAGGAAATTACCAGGCCGAAGTCTACAATCCTCACACCAATACCTATGCTCCTGACAGCAGTATATCCATCACCATCACTGTCGATGAAGTTTTCGATAACGACCACCGGGTCGTTTCTCAGAAGGGAGCTGACAAGGGACGCTACACCTTTTCCACGGCAGATGCGGGACAGCACAAACTATGCTTCACTCCGGACTCGCATGCCAACAGTGGATGGCTGTCCGGAGCTTCTGGCCCAGTGAAATTGACCCTTGACATGGCTATCGGAGAGTCCAACCACCTAGAGTCTGAAGACAAGAGCAAGCTTGACGATTTGGTCGAGAGAGTCAAAAACTTGAACGGAAGACTCCAGGACATCCGCCGTGAACAGGTCTTCCAACGCGTAAGTTCATACACCGTAATGGCACTAACAGATAATATACGGAACAATCTTGGCTGACAACTTCCCACCACAGGAACGAGAAGCTCAATTCCGTGACCAATCTGAGGCTACCAACTCCCGTGTTGTCCGGTGGGCTTTGATTCAAACCGCTGTCCTCGGGGTTACCTGTGTCTGGCAATTCTCACATCTACGGAGCTTCTTCATCAAGCAGAAGCTTACTTAAATATGACAGAAGAGTACGGAGTTGGTGGTGCATCACGCTAGGTTATGAAGTTATGGAAGCTTTCTCTAAAGTACCAGGGGCCATTTTTTTCAATCAATCCCGGTCTTTTTTTCTTTCCCATAATTAGTATACAAAAAAGAAAATGGGTGATTTAAGCACCTATAAAGTGGAGGCATATCCTATCACTCGCGATTAAATGCTTATTCTTTATATTTCAGGTCTTATTTGGTATTATATGCATTGTTTTTAATCTACATGCTTATACCAGTTATAACCTATGTGGCAACCGGAGCTGTAACCAGCATGTAGATCTAGATAAAAACCTACCAGCTAACTCATTGTGCGTACCAATTCCCAAATACACTATATATCTCGAATACCTGTGACCATAACCTTAACGGCGAACCCTCCTTTTTTAGGAGCTGGATGACCCAGATCTCGTCCCATTTGGATATTTTCTACCGTAGTTTCCACCAGCTTCATATCGACCGAACAAACTACGGTTGCTAGAATGAGGTAGAGTTCCGTATATGCAAGGCTGTATCATGATAAGTGAACGGTATTACTCTAGGGATGATGGAGTACATACTTTATCCCTAGGCATTGCCGACTTCCCTTGCCAAAGGCAACAAGAAAACGGTTTAGATACTGGCCTTGCTTCGAAGCTTCAACCCATCGTTCAGGATTGAAACTTTCCGGATGAGGAAATATGTCTGGGTCCATATGGACAAAGTACGTAGACTGGCTAACGGGTGTCTACAAAACGAAGGTTTAGGTTAACTGTGCCATTCCAACCCATTATATTTTGGTGCGAGGATATACTAATTCGGTTACTTACACCGGCAGGAATCACAAAATCCCGATACATCAACGGCTCGGTAGGTGAAACTCTGGGCGTTCGAGCTACCAGGCCCATGGAAAGACGGAGGGATTCTTTGATCGTGCCAGTCTAGAGTCACTTGTCAATATATTCCGAATGACCAATTTTTGGGCATCCCGGCTGGCATACCAGGTATGGCAATTTCTCAAGTTGGGTAGAACTTGGTTGAATCCCTGATGAAGGGAAATGTGCCTCCAGCTCTTCACGAAGCTTCAGCATCAAGGGTCTTTCACTCAGTAAAAAGAACAAGGCTACCGAAAGTGCTCGTGATGTGGTCTCTGTTCCAGCGCCAAAAATGGCCGCTGCCTCGTCTTCAAGTCGGTAGGCAGACTTTTCTTGTTTTGGCACATTTGTAGCAGCGAGAGCATCGAATATAGTACTGGCGAGCGGGGCATCGGCATCAGTATTATCAGTGACCTTCGTCTTGCAGAGGGACTCAAGTGCCTGCTGTCGGATCAAATGTGTCACTGTGATCACATCGGCCATGTATACTCCCATGTTCCGTAGCAACCGCTGCGGTACAAGTCTGAGAAGCTTGGGAATCAATGGCAAGAACTTATTGATATGGCACATGGATAGAACGTAGTTGACCGCATCAATCATCTGATTCTCGAAAGTCTTTTGGTCGAGATAGCTATGGCTGGCTCCGAAGCAGCAGGTGGTCACCACATCCGCAGTGAGCGCAGACATAACGCGATGAAGCTCAAGAACTGTGCCGCTCTTGTATGCAGTTCGAAAAACACTTATCAGTCTGTTCGCCTTTGCCTGAATACATGGCTCCATCTCCTTTATAGAGCGCTTAGAGAAGAAGTTGTTCAGAAAACTACGGCGGAGACGGTGATGTTCATGGTGCACTGTGGCAACCATCGGGAGAGGCGTCGTGAAAATGGCGGTAGAACTAGGATCCTTATCCCGCCTGTGAGGGTATCCAGCATATATTCGTTCATAGTAATGTGAGTCTTTGATATGCAGTTCGCGTGGGTTGATCCGTATAATTGGCCCTTGAATGTATGATTAGCAGATGTTCATATTATTTTTTTTTTTAACTTGCAGGTGTCAAAACTCCAAACCATATCTTTGATGCATCAGATCGATTTTCTTTATGTAGGTTCCACCCCGTATCACATCATAGTAGAACTCATACAGATGTGAAATGGCCGCTAGCTTTGGCCCAGGAAACCCGCTTAGAGGGTGAAAAAGTAGACGATAAACAGCGCGTGTAACAAAGAAGACGGTCGTAATCAGCGCCAGAAGCAGGCCGATCTTTAAATACGACTGTTCCAGGGAGATTTTTTGAAGCGCAGGGCGCTCCGTCGGGAGTGTGATGCTCTTGACGGACTCCATTCAACTATAGGATCGGTGGTAGGCAACGCATGCAGAGAGATATACACACTCCATAGAAGACAAGGCGTATGACATCGTAAAAGAAGTGGCAGTAACTCGACACCAGTCAGACAAAATACCAACGAAGCCGTAATCAACTATCCGTTTAGTATATATCAGCTATGTTTGTGAGCCGGGACAGATAGCGAGTGGCAAAGATGTCCAGAAATCCACTTGTACGGTGCCATGCTGATCAAGATTTGGTATGCATATGGTGGAATAGATAAATACCACAGGCTCTGGTGCCCTTGGCTAACTTTTGCATCATACGCTCTCCACGAATTCTTTGGAGCAGCAAGATGACGGATATTATCCCCGTATTAGTTTCGCTAGGCCTGGTGTCCTTACTGGCATATCTATTGAGAGCCAGCTGGAATCCCAAAACTCAGTCTCCCGAGCCACCCTCGATCCCCAGTCAAATTCCGCCGATTGGACATCTGGCTGGTTTTGTCTACTATGGACTCGAGTACTTCCGGCTGCAGAGGTAATCCGATCTGTCCCCAGGGAAGAGCATCATGCGCTGACGAAGTGATATAGTGCAAGAACCGCTCTTCCTGCCTTCACCATGGACATGTTCTTCAACAAGGTGTATGTCATTAGATCTCCACGGTTGGTCTCCGCTGTACGGCGCAGTCACCGCACCCTCTCCTTCGACCCGCTAGTCACTCGCACCGCGGAGTGTGTTGGGGGAATCAGTGGCTGTGGCCTCGACCGTATCCGAGAAAAGGCTTCCCAGGGCCAGGGACTTGGGCATCACACAGTTGTTGCTTTGCGCCCCACCTTGCTGGGCAAAGGATTGGACCAGATGAACGAGATTATGGTCTCCTGTCTGCAAAGCAGCGTCCAAGAGCTGAGGCCTCATCGTGGCAGAGTTGATCTCTATGGCTGGTGCAGACTTGCAATGACAATTGCCAGCACAGAAGCAGTTTATGGGCCACTGAATCCCTACAGCCAAATTAGTGCCCGAGAAGCTTACTGGTTAGCTCGATATCCATTCAAACTCTTTTTCAACGCCGCATTTTTGGAGCTGACTGAAAACGTATGTACCATGTATAGGGAAGTCGAGGAGAACCTTAGTTTTCTCATGATAGGCATCGCGCCATGGCTGGTTGCACGGAAGGCTTGGAAGGGGCGACAGCATCTGGCACAGGCTTTTCTCCAGTACTACCAGTCCGGAGGCCATCTTAATGCATCCGAGTTAGCGTATGCACGATGGCAATCGCAGAACGAGGCCGGGGCAGCTCTGGAGGACATTGCTCGGCTAGAGGTAGTCATGGGCCTCGGATTGCTCTCCAATACAGTCCCCACCAGCTTCTGGGTGATATTCGATATATTCTCACGCCCAAAACTAGTCCAAGAGATCCGGGATGAGATTTGTGGAAAGGTGTTGTCTATCAGCCCGGATGGTGTATATACAGTTGACCTGGCGGACGTTCAGGAGCGCTGTTCCCTCTTACTCGCATCGTTCCAAGAAACCCTCCGGATTCGATCCAACTCGGCGCAGTTCCGCATGGTATACGAGGATACTATGCTAGACGATTCGTGTCTCGTCAAAGCCGGCTCGATCATAGTGATGCCAGCCGCTGTCATAAACCGAGACGAATCGGTATGGGGCCCTACGCCTGATGATTTTAACCCTCAACAGTTTCTGGCTCCAGGGGTTAAAAGGCACAAAGCTTCGGCATTCATGTCATTCGGGACATCTCCCCATATTTGTGCTGGCCGTCATTTTGCCACGGGGGAAATCCTGGCTCTGATAACGATGCTGATCCTGCAGTTTGACATTTCTCCGGTCGGGGATGGTTGGATAGAGCCTGCAGCTAATGTAAAAGCGGTGGCAGCATCGCTAAGCCCGCCAGTTGGTCAGACTCCTGTCATCTTCAGCGAGAGACAGGAGCTCAAGGGCGTGAAATGGGACTTTAAAGTGACACCCGGCAAAGGTAGGTATAGTTTAGTCACTGGCTAAAGCAGAAGTCGAAAAAGGGGTCACAAGAATCAGAGCATCACTTAGTTGTTCAGCTTATGAAGTACTTAGTTGGTTAGATTTAAAACAACTGACTACATCACCGCTAAATCTACATATTCAACGGTGATTCTTGCCTCTGTATAAGGAGCAACATCTACGAGGGAGCTCGACTTTCTCCAGTGTGCTTCCCGGGCCTTAGAAGGCTCCCTGAATAGTCTTGTAGGTTGAAGTTGACTCGAGCTCCAGTTAGAAACCCCCTCTGGCCTCAACAGAAGTCGTTTGAAAATGGCACTTGTTCTCGAATATATCCTCCAAAACCAGGGGCTGTCAGCCATTATTTTGTCACTGCTGCTCGTCAGCTTGGTGGCGCTCCTTGCTTGTCTTCCCAGACAGCTGCCTTTCCCTGACGGGGCTCCCAAGTTGCTATCAGAAGGATATCCTGTTATTGGTATGCTGCGGTTCTTTTCAGATCGCTACAATTTTTACACGGACGGCATTGCTGCGTCCAATACTGGCAGCTTCAGCTTCTACTTTGGCCAACATCAGATCGTCGGTGTCTCAGGTCCTGAAGGCCGGAAGATGTTCTTTCAGAGCAAGTCAATGGACCTAAATGAAGGGTGAGCAGGGTCCAGATAAAGAAACAATATTTGAATATATGTATGCCTCCGCTCATCTTAACCACAGTTATACGGCTCTTCTTTCCACTACGCCGTCTGTCAAAGACACTGATCGTGCCGACTGGTATTCCCAGGCTCGTGCCAGCATGATGGCTAGGGGCAACTTAGACCAGAATCTCCCATTCCTGGTTGGCGACGCAATTACTACGTTCAAGCAGGCTTCTGGGTCTACCGTCACCGAGGGCTTCATAGACCCATTTGATCAGGCCAACTACGCAGTGTATCAGTCAATAATGCGAGTGATTGGTGCAAACGAAATTGCCGATTCCAAGCATCTTTGTACAAAGACACTCGATCTATTCGAGCAGATCGAGAAGGGATCCTCCCCGGCACGTATAATTTGCCCTTGGTTACCAACTCCGGCATACCTACGCCGAATGACGGCAAGCGTGAAGCTGTACACTATATTCTCAGAACTGGTACAGGAAAGAAAGAGTAGTGGAAGGGAAAGTAATGATACCCTCCAATATCTCATAGACGGTGGCAAAAATATGAGGGATATCATCGGTGTGAGCTAACCCCAATAATTCCCCATCAAAATCTCTATTTGCGAGGCTATTGCATACTAGGAACCATATCATATGTTGCATGCGTAGTGATGAATACTAACGTCCCAAATCTGGGAAGTTTGTCCTAGGTACACTTTATGCTAGCCAGGTGAATACGCCCATTTGCGTCGGTTGGTTATTAGTCTATCTAGCCTCAAATTCATATTGGTTGCGTCTAGTTCGCAATGAAACCGACTCTGTGTTGTCCAAGTACCGAAGTTGCAATGAGACGACGGAGCAAACTCTCGGCAGACTGAACCTCGAGGCCTGGGAATCCGAATTTCCCACAATTGATCTGTGTTTGCGAGAGTGCATTAGGCTCCATGTTTCAGGGTCTGCCTTTCGAAGAAATAAAAGCAACATGGATGTGCCGATTGGAAATACTGGAGAGGCGGTACCTAGAGACGCTTATGTTGTCAGTATAGACATATGATATTACTGCAGTTACCAAATCTGACAGCGTAAGCAGTTCTATCTCTTCGACGAGGTTCACTTGAACCCAGATATCTACCCCGATCCAGATTCATGGGATCCTGGCCGGTACCTTACGGATGCTAGCAAAGATAAAGAAGTCCCGCTTAGCTATCTTGGTTGGGGAAATGGACGCCACCCATGTTGTAAGTCGAGATTACTCCTTATGTGTGTATACTATGGAATGATAGCTAACGTTGCCTGAACTTGCTCTAGTGGGTATAAGAGTGAGTGCTTCAAGCTGCATTAAAGGATATCAAACCGACTATACTAACAAGTCGCAACTCAGTTGGCGAAGCTCGATATGACTATAATTGCGGTAGTTTTTGTTTCGATGTTCAACTTCAGTCTCTGTGATGAATTTAGCAACCCTATCAATGATCCGCCAATGCCTGACCGAAGCCATCCTAGTCACCGCAAACCCGAGACTGCCGTCAAGTTGAAATACACACATCGGAGATTCTCAATTCTTTAAGAAGTTTACCCTTCCTATTCTTTTCAATAAGCTCCGTGTTCCTAGATTCGTAGCACTTGGTTGACTTATTCTTCAAAGTATAATCCAAGTTTATTCCTAGAATTGACCAATGTTAGTAATTTGTACGGTAACTACCATTCATCACATTGCACATCGGAAACACAAGCATCGATTAATCCAGTATTTCGGTTGTTGCCGCCCGAAGCGGGGATGTAGTTATATAGATTGACTTACAAGCCTCGGCTACGCATGATATGTAACTACTTAAGCCCCTCCAAGGCTTTCTATATCTCACGTAGTTCAATGTCATCAACGCCCCACACGTATACATATTCAAGAACGCAGGCGATATTAGTTATCTATCATGCCGTACAGTCTTAAGGGACGCAACGTCCTGATCACCGGTGGCTCTCGGTAAGAAAGTCCCAGCTACATGCCAACACCCACATACAAAGAGTACGAGCTCAGGCTAACAAGGCCGTTACACCTACTGTAGCGGCCTGGGAGCCATGATTGCAGAGAAATTTGCCGCCGAGGGCTCAAACATTGCTATAAATTACTGTGCAAGCGCGGAACGAGCAAAGGAACTCGCCACAAAGATAGAAGCCGATCATAAGGTTAAAGCTGTCGTTCTTCATGGGGTGAGTCAAGTATTTACAGGAGCACCATCTGCATTTGAAGCTATGCAATGTCAGCAAGACAACTGATCAATATGTAGGATGTCGCTCTCCGTGTGGATTGTGAAAATCTAGTCAAGAAAACAATTGAGCTTCTAGGAGGAATCGATGTCATCATTTCTAATGCCGTGAGTAGATAATCTGACTATCTATGATAGTAGCAATGATCTCGCTGATGTTTACCTTAGGGATGGACGAAAATCTCTCAATTCGGAGACTTGAACGCATTAACGGATGATGAGTGGGACAAGGTATGTATATCCGCCATGTGTCAAGACATTAAAAGCGTAGGCTGCTGATACATATGAGAAATCAGTGCTGGAGCACAAATGTCAAAGCAAACTTGCATCTTTTCCGTGAGGCAGAGCCAACTTTCAACGCCAACCCAGAAGGAGGAGCATTTATTATCACATCCTCAGTTGCGGTAAGCTAATTCGACCGCACTTCCAACCACATAGCTAACTAGCAACCAGGGAGTCACCCCCGGTGGCAGTAGCATGGCTTACTCCGTCAGCAAGGCCGCGAGTGCGTATAGATGTACCTACCCTATATGCTAAGTTTTAACCCCTAACAACAGATAGGCTTGCACCTGATGAAGGCCCTTGCTTCTTCTCAAGGCTCAAAAATCCGTACAAATGCAGTTCTTCCTGGGCTTCTACTTACAGAATGGGTAAGCTCAGCATTTCCCGTTCTTTGGAGTCGCCGTGGCGCTAATTCCTCCCAATAGGGATTAAAATTCCCTTCTGAAGTGCAGAACGGGTATATCGGGAAGACGACCTTGAAGAGAGTGGTAAGATCGTGGTCCTATCCATTTAAGCTTTTAGATTGTAATAACTGGTCATCTAGCCCGATATTGAGGACTGTGCGGACGTCTATGTCTCCATTGCTAAGAATTACTCCATGACTGGACAAGAAATCCAACTTGGTAAAATTTTAAGAGTCTCCCACTCTAAGAAAGAAAGCTAATGACCTTGAGTTGAAGATTCCGGATTCCATATAAGATGATTTCTGGTGTAACATCCACCAGGCCAGGCGGGGCTCCCGGTCGGCCTGGACGAACTGGGAGGCTGTAACAGCACAGAAACCAATAGTAGAGACTTGAACCAGCAAAGCCACTTATTGAAGGGGGCCATGGAATGAACTGTATATTGAATTTCTTGCTGCTGTTGAGTCAACAAGTTTAGCTTTTAGTGCAGCCCGGTAAGCTGAAGTCATCCTCTCCCCCTCGACTTTCATTTCTTCTATTTCGAGAAGCTTTCCGTCGTTTGTAAACACAAATAATTGCCCATCTTCCTTCTTTTTTGTCGGGTCTTTGAAAGTAAACGGAACCCCAGGCTGAGTAGAAGGTACATCATTGCTACCAGGTATAGTTTCAACAGGCTTCATGGTCCCGAAAATAATCCGTTTCCGCGGTACAAGATGCTCTTCACCTGGCGTGGCGGGAGTTAATGCGGCTGTACTCCATAGTGCCCCTAGAACAATCTGATGACGACGAAGAGTATCCCAATTCCAAGTGTTCCATATGATATGACGATCCTCAGGTTTAATCTTCTTTGCAGGTCTTAGTGCACTTTCCTCAACTGGCGATTGACGGAGTATTGGGTTTAATGGAGGAACGAATACGCGGTTCCTAATCCCTTTTACAAGCATTTCTGCCCCCTTCGTAGACACCAATTTCAGCAGCCGGGGGAGATCGCAGGAATCAGGATCGGGGATTGGAAAGCCTGGAGCGGGCGTTTGGTCTAGTATTAACCCATGGTCGAACCTAGCGGTGTCCAATGTCTGTAATGTGATTCCTGTCGTTCTGTCGCCGGCCAACAAGGTATGGTGAAGGGGAGCGGCCCCCCTAAAACTGTGGAGGAGTTAGCCGGAAGTCTACATAAATGGAATGAGGTGCTTACTCTGGTAACAATGAAGGATGAACATTAAGACCTCCATATTTAGCTCCCTTTAATATTCTAGGAGGGATAAAAAGCCCGAACGAAACCGCGATTATCAGGTTTATGGGTTCTCCTCGTGGCTTTGGTGGCTGTTATTGCACGTTAGAACCACATAAACACAGTAAAGCGACTACAAGCATACCGCCCACTTTGTAAACGTATCAACTTCGTGTATAGGGAGGGCAAGCTCGGTTGCAACAGCTTTAATTGGTACTAAATTCTTCCGTTCAATCAGTTACTGGGCTGAATACGATGCTTTGATGTGGTTGGTACTCTACCTTCACGAATTGTTTTCATAGCACGGCCAACAGGCTTACCGGGCCGGCATACTACATCAATAGATGCAATTGTATCTGGATCCTTCACACGTTCAGTGTGCAGCGCGTTCAACGATGCAATGCTAAACTCATCAGAGCCGCAGAAAAGAATTCGAAGAGGATCGCACGCCTTAGTAGAGGAGTATCTCCGGTATAAATTAACATAACTGCATCTTAATGAACTTAAAATGGGTTCCCTTAGGCCCACAGAGCACAGCATCTCCTTTGCAACCGGTTACCGGTATAAAACGAGAGTCTGTCAATATTGAAGCTTTTCTTGGAGCTCGAAAGACGCTCTAACAAGCACCTGCATTGTTATGGTCACGTGGTTGTTAACTAACTAGTTAATGACATCAGATGTGAGCAAAGTTGAAGAAACAACTCCAGATATAATTTAATGGGAACTTATGATATTGGATGTGACGAGTGAAGGTGGTTTATATCCCAGTGATATCATCATGTGAAATGCCTCCTTATGAACCGCCGTCTGTTATACCGGCACAGCTCTCATTTCTAACGATATTCAACCCGTCACTTGGGAAAACGGATGAGACGTTACAAGACCAGATTGTATTCTACTACTCAGCCCCCAGTCAAACGAAGTCGCCAAAAGATATTCCTGATAGCGATGTAACAGGGAAAGAGTATTCCGAGGAAGAGAATAAAAGACTGCGCCATGTAGGTCTTGCGCAAGGAATGGTGAGCTTCGCCAAGTGAGTATTTTACCATTGAAAGATAAGCAGCACCGGATAGACACAGTAACTAGATGGCATACAGAAATTTTTCGAACGGAGAGCCTGTCGACTCAATAGAGACTGAAAATTCACGCATTGTTTTGAAAGAACTAGAGCCTGGGTGGTGGATTCTTGCCGTAAGGATGCCTGACCACCTACCTTGTTAATCAGTAGTTCTAACATTTCTAATAGAGTATCAACTTGACGAAAATAATATCTATACAAAAAAGGCCAACGGCCTCCAGAGATGAGACATCGAATGATGTTAAAGTGGAATACTCTTCCAGGGAGCTGTCTCCTCCATACCTCCTAACCCAACAGCTTTCAAAGGCATATTCAATATTTCTAATGCATCACGGCACCTCTCTAGAAGGTCTCTACGATAATCTACCAAGAAAAACATTTTGCCTCTATCTTGATCGATATTGGACAAGGTTCATTTGGAACTGGGACGTTTTGCTTAACGGGAACCCGGCGTTGGATCTCTTTTCTGGTACCAAGTTAGCCGGAGGCGGAGAACTAGGAATCGGCGTGGGCGAAGAAGAATGGGGCAGTGGTGAACGTGAAGTCTTGGAGGGATTCATATCAAGGACTGAAGGCTTAGTTGACATGGTAGTCTCGAGATTTGGGGGTGCGCAAGGAACCCCCGCATATAAGACTGTTGCCAAAAAGGAACTGGTTAAACCGAGTGTTGGGTCGTGTGAGCAAGCATGGACTGGCTGTATGGCGCCACCTGGCCCGCAGGACGGTGTCATATTTTCTGGAACTGGGGCATTATCACGAAAGTCCCTAACGCATGTCTCTCAGTGGATGGAGTGGATATATAGATATGGTGAAGACGCATATGGTGTACGAAACGACCCTAAATCGACTCATCGCCGGAAGCGCAACAAACAGCCAAAGGGGAAAAAGCAGTTCAAGGGGCTGAGAGCTGGAGCAAACGCCAAGTTAACAACGTCAAGCTCACACCATAAACCATCTAGTCAAACTGACGATTTATCTCCGAGAATCCCACCTCCCTTAATTGTTGCTTCCGAAAGGAAACACAAGTGTGGCCCGGAATCCGGGCCTATATCCCAGAGGGCACCTAACGACAAATCGATAGATACGGCTACTTTTGGGACAGAAAGTATCATGAATATAATTACTCTAGGGTATGGGTCCGCATGGGGTAACTCTTCGGCGAGCCCTCTTCCCAATACCAGTACCAACACTCCCAAGCCGCAAGACACGGAAAAGTCGAAACAGTCGCCAACCTCAGCACTGGCACAGCAGCCTAAGGTGGCCAGATGGGAGGAGAATCTAACAGAGAGTCCTGGTAGGTTCATCATTGGCCTCCGCGACGATCTAGAAAATGAAGAGAGCGATAGTGAATTGCTAGACGAAGAGCTGCCCAAATACGCAGGTTCTAGTAAGATCATTGTTCGAACATTAGAGGTAACTGTACAGTCTTCGCTACCCCATGAAGGTATGAAATGACTCCATTAAATTGAAGGAAATATATAGCTAATATTTTACATAGAGGCACCCTCTAAACTGCTTCCCAAGACCCTACAGGTGGTTATATACTTGGTACAACCCATGCCGCCCCCACAAAGTGCCAAATTTCCTTACTAACCAGTCTCAAAGTACCAACCATTCATGTTTACCTTTTTGTTTGAGTGTGACACGAAGGCCCTTTCATCGGCCAGCTTCTATCGAACCATCCATCATCAAATCGGGCCACTCCAAAAACCGCTCCTCTCATCAACGTCGCCGTCAAGAGTGGCAGAAAGACTCCTCCGTTACGATCTTCATCAATACCCCAAGGCCCATCATAAATTATCTCCTGGAGAGTCACTCTATGATATCATTTATGAGCCGTTCCACCAGACAATACGTACCTCGCTACTTAATATCCCAGAACCAGATATAACATCTGACCAGGTCAGAGCATATAACAATTCAGGAGATGCCAGTCAACAGCCTCACTGGAGCCGCGCCGACGCCCTAAATGTGTACACACAGATTATCAACACTTACTTAGAAACAAGTATTCAACCATCCGAGTTGGAGAGGATATGTAAAACGAATCGTGGTTGGTGGGTTCTTTGGATGCGCTTACCCAAGATGTCCAGCCCGTCAGGGCCTGGCATTTCCTCCAGCGACGGCGGGAGTAGCTCCAGCGGCGCAGGCTCGCAAGCTACAGCAGGGAACTCCTCTAGGCAGATTGACAGCCGCATGCAAACAGGAAGTCAAGACATATCTACTTCGAATGTAGCCTTTCTGGTTAGGAAAGCAAGTGATTCTGCGCAGCCGGCAAGAGGACATCTTCGCAGCCAAAGTGGGCCGGGTTTCTTTCGAAGTATAGGGGGCCGGTTCGGAAGGGAGCTGGAAGGATGGTCTGGAACACCCGGAAGGCTTGTTGAAGGCGTTGGTCTCGACGCGAAGAAGTATATTGATGCGTTAATCAATCTAAATAGATAGACTTCGGGCTATTCACCATGATAGGTTCGGATTGCTCTCGCATGTATATTAATGAATAGTGATTACTATGTGGTAGGAAGTAGATTTCTCAAATAACTGGGCTTATCGCAAATCCTCCCTGTACTACACCACAACCCATGCAGAATAGACCCAGAGTACTTCTTGTAGCCCCTCATCTTCGTTGTCTTTAGCTCTTCAGCCTGTCCCCACTGCTAGTTAAGTATTTATAAGGAACTCTCGAACTTTCCAAAGATACAAGAGCTTTACAACTTCATCCCGCAATAATAAATATAATACCGAGAGAAAGCCCATCGGTTGTAGGGATCCTATCAGTAACCAGCAGTCATCATGGGTTCAGCAGGGCCTGCAAAAATGGATTTCACGGTAGGCCAATCCTTGGACCAGATATTTGCCATCCCAAGGCTTCTTCTCTTGCTAATGCGGCATTGATAGAGCTTCTATAATACGATCGATGGCAAGCTTACAACGACGTCAGCAACTCGTCATGGCATCAACCCAGCCAACAAGAAGCCCAACGCCGAAGTCCCAGTCTCAACCCAGGCTGATCTAGATAACGCAGTCGCAGCCGCAAGAATTGCTTTCAACAAATGGTCCAAGACCACATTTGAAGAGCGTAGAAAGGCTCTTCATGGCTATGCAGATGGTGTCGAATATTACAAAGAGGACTTTGCACATCTTCTGGTTGCTGAACAAGGGAAGCCATTAGATCAAGCTCGAGGCGAAGTTGGGGCCGCCGTATCCTTCCTTAGGGCCCTTTCCTCGCTGAGTATGAACGAGGAAGTCCTTGAGGACACGGAGACGCACAAGATTATTGGCCGGTATACCCCTATAGGCGTTGCAGGTGGGATTGTCCCCTGGAATTACCCGGTTCTCCTGGCTTGTGGGAAGATTGCATCTGCCATTTATACTGGAAATTCACTTATAGTCAAGCCATCTCCTTTCACCCCCTATTGTAGCCTAAAGTTAGGCGAGTTAGGGTTGCAATACTTCCCTCCCGGCGTCTTGCAAGTTCTTAGCGGTGGGGATGATCTAGGGCCAATGATGACAGCCCATTCGGGAATCGACAAGATAAGCTTCACCGGCTCAATTGCGACGGGAAAGAAAGTTATGGAAAGTTGTGCAAAGACACTGAAAAGAGTGACCCTGGAGCTGGGCGGAAATGATGCAGCTGTTGTGTGTGAAGATGTAGACCTTGAAGAAGTCGTCCCAAAGGTAAAGAGGCCACTTGACAACTCGTCATATATATATGCTAACAGACGGCGTAGATCGTTCAGGCTTGTTTCTACTGCTCCAGCCAAATCTGCATGATGATTAAACGGTTGTATGTCCATGAGAAGATATATGACCAGTTCCGTGATGCCTTGGTTAAACATACCGCGGCGTTAAAGATGGGGGAAGGCCATGAACCCGACGCCTTTATCGGCCCAATCCAAAATAATATGCAATATGAGCAAGTTAAGTCACTCATCAAGGCTATTAAGAAAGAAGGGGCTAAGCCGATCCTTGGTGGAGAGGTTGAAGAGTCGGAAGGCTACTTCATTAAGCCTACTATCGTTGATAATCCCCCAGACATATCTCTTGCTGTGACTGAGGAACCATTCGGTCCTGTCCTTCCTCTCCTCAGATGGTCTGACGAAGACGACGTTATTACTCGTGCAAATGACTCGAAGATGGGTCTTGGGGCATCGGTATGGAGCAAGGACCTAGTCCGCGCTGAGAGAATCGTGAGGCAGTTTGATTCTGGAGTGGCCTGGATTAACTCCCATTTCAACATTTCTCCTAATGTTCCATTTGGAGGACATAAATGGAGTGGTATTGGAACCGAATTCGGTTTGAACGGGCTGAAGGAATATTGTAACCATCAATCCCTTTGGCTGGCGAAGAAATAATGGGCTTCAAGTCATATTTGAATAGCCAACAGTCAAGATTTGCCTTGTCATGTTGAACCTCTCCCGGTCTCAGTTGTCTTCTCACTTGGGGTATTTCAGATAATAAGGCGAGCCAGTTACTCCGTACAGGGATGCTAAAATTCACAGTCTCTCCTCATGATGTCTTTGGTACGAAGTATGTATATAATATGTCTATTCACTATGACAGGGTTGTAGCAAGGATAATAATATCTGATACCTCACACATATTTCTCCGAGGAGCTAGCTACCTCTGTTTGCCCAAAGCACGACTGTATATATTCTATAAACATCCGAGCGAGGCGGCCACATGCTTTTAACGTTGATCACAGGGGAATAGACTCCACGCTGTCCTTGGTTACATCCGTGGAAGAAACGGGGATTGTCCGTTATCGGGAAACAAGAACATGGAGATGGCCCGGAGAAAATATGTTTACTGGGACAAGAGAGAGAGTCTCCAGTGTGCTCTTTTTCATCGAATAGCCGCGTGTTCAAGTATGGAATGCAATGCCCAAGTCTCGAGCCTCAGACTTACCAGGGAGAAGATGAGCTGAAGGGAAACAATCTCCACCAACGAGATATTATACGAAGCTCGCTAGCCGTCCATGGTATATTGGCTGCAAAATATGCCATATCAAGAGAATGAGTCTCCACCATCATTTATATCTCTCCACTGGAAGAGGGCTGCGTGACATGGATTAGTTCTGGAGCAAAAGGGAGGCCGCTCGCTGCAGGGCATCGTTGCAACCCCTATAACGGGATCTTCTCTCGCTCATGCCGTTCGTGCCTGTGTCTACACGAGATTTTACATCGTCTCGTCAAACCTCGCTGTTGAAGAGTGTTCGCCGAGTGCGCCACGAAACCCGTCACTCAGGATATATATATCGACAGAGATTTAAGATGAAGTGAGCGTTGCGGCACGATCGGCCCATCCCGTCGTCGCAGAAACAATGCTCTCTCGAACGAAGCAGTGGCCATTAATTTGGCTAGCCTTTATCTTTATCGCCTTCTTACCAAGCCTCACGCATGGCTGGACTTGGTGGTGGACGGACGCGCACGGTAACACCCATATAGATAATGGGACGAACAATAGACAATGTACCAAGATGGAGCTACCGAAAGGCAAACAATACCACTGGGATCCAGAAGGAAGCATGTATTGCGTCTCATTATTCTCAGACGACCATTGCGGGGATCGTAATGGTTGGTCATGTCCTCCTTGGGGGCCTCGATATCAGGGACAGGATGTATCTCTATCATATCTCGTCAATATGAACGGTGAAGACATATCATCGTCTTCGTCATCCGAGCCCACAGCCACCGAAACATCTGTCGACCCCAGCAACATGTCATCTGCTGAGAGCACCTCATTCATGACTTCAGCTTCAACATCATCATCATCAACAAATACGTCAACACCACAGATAGAGGCGGGAAGGCTATCAGAGGGCGCTATTGCAGGTATCGTGGTCGGAGCCATTGCTCTGGTAGCGTCTGTCGCCCTCCTTTGCTTCATATCATATAAAATGGGACAACGGCATCCAATCATCAAAATATCAGAAGAGGACTCCCAGGACCAGTCCGGAGGATTAGATTCACCATCAGCCCACGAAATGCACTCCTCGGATTCACCATGGATGGCAAGGTCTCAACTGACGTCGACACCATCATCTCCTCTCTCGCCCCGATCAGAGTTGGCAGACAGCGGGGCGTTTACTAAACGACAAATGCTATCAACATACCAACGGCCGATGGCAACTGAATTACCGGATAACGGACGACGAGAGGTTCCGGCGTAGCCTCATTCGGGTAAAATAGTGGGTATAAATCTATGCGCGAGAAGCACTTAATGATTTCTTTTGATATTGGGGACGTAGGGCATCAAAGAACTTGGCTACCTGGTTACCTGGACCCAGAATTTTCTCATCTCAGATGGAATATGTATGGCTAAATAATCAATATCAACAAATGTATATATGTGTTTTCTAGAAGTTCTCCTTGACATTACCGTGTACATTGATATTTGTTGACCGTTGGATAGTTCCATAATAGCACAGCCAATGGGTTGATAATAACCCAGGTTGTATCTAATATCGCTCTTATTCCAACTTCTCCATGGTATTATGTGGCCATTCAGGGGAATCTCGGAGCCAAAATACCGTTCTTCGACTGCTTCTAATGTCTTGTCCATGACAGTGGAGCCCATTCAGCTACAGATCTCCCACACCCATGCAGCCAGAGAATCTTAGCAAACATATAATATCTCCAACAGATAGCAAAAAGGCCAGAATCCTACAGCGGCGACAAGGGTGGACGAGTTAGTTTACGTATGCAATCATCCACGACGCGCATGGTTTGATATTAAGTACCAAAAATAGCCTTTCCTGGCGAATTTACACGTTAAGCTTACTCTTTATCATCCGTCTCGTCGGTGCCGTACCCGGCTTTATGAGGCACGAAAGATACAGACCAACAGAGAGTTGGCAATGAGTATTACATCACGATGATAACGAACGAAGCAATGCATATAGGAAATAGAGAAACAAAAGGGCAGGGGAGAGAGACATAGTCTTGATAAAGCAGAGAGCAATGCGATGTATCAGGTTTAGCATGAGGAATGTGCAGATTTGGAACCAGTATTTGGAGCAAGCTGTTGATGATATCAAGCCAAGTGATTATTACGGTAGTTTAAGGGGACTCGGACGAAGTAAAACGAGACGAGGAAACAGGGAAAAAGAGTAGTAAGGAAGGAGATACTCTGGCTCTCCATTTCTTCATAGTATTCCCTCGAGTCATTTGTGTTGGTATAAAAGGTCGATTCTGGGTGTTTTCCCATTTTCTTTCGCTCCAGAAGGGGCAGAATTGAGTGAACTAGCAGGCAACATGAGGGGATATAGGCAACTAGGTATAGAAACACACACAAGTCCTCGTTTATCGCTGCCCTCTTTAATACTCAGTCCAAGGTAGAGGAGAAGAAGCTGGGTGGTTTGATGAATGGCAGCTTGCTGATTCCTGGCTCACAAATTAAAAGAAAACATAATTAAAGGGAGCAAAAATGAAAAAAGAAAAGAAAAAGGGGAATAGAGGGGGAAATGAGGTAGGAAAATAAGAGAGTTTAAAAAGAAAACAGACGGAACTGTACTCGTGTTGTTTGAGAGTAAAGTTGCATGATCACCGAATGTTATGTTGGCAAAAAAGGTAAACTCTCCCTGGACATGCTGCTATCCTGATTCTCAGATGGAGAGAGGGTAGGAACAACAAAGTGGTAGAGTAAATCTCATATAACCAGACAGAAATCGTCATGATGCACATATTGCTGGTAGGGTACAGACCACCCTCGCCCACGTCAACAAGGGGTGAGGATCAATAGTCAGGGACACATTGCGTTCACGCATTCTTAATCTCGATTGTCAAAAGTCCTGTCCGCCTGGGCGACTGTTGGAGATGAAAAATGGCATGCTTTAAAGAGAATCGACCGGGGAAGGGGGGCTCTCTACAAAAGCCTACACTTGGACTTTTTCGTCTTCTCTTTAGATAGCAAGGCCGCACGGGTGGCTGACTCGAAAACCTCACGGACACCTTCGTTTGTTCGGGCGGAACATTCCAGATACTTATATGCGCCAATCTTCTTGCGGATCTCCTCACCCTATAATATATGTTAGAAGTTGGCGATACTCGTAAAAAAAAAGGATGAAATACAGCCTACCTGTTCTGGGGTTACTGGCTTCTGGGAAGTCTTGTGCAGCTCCTCAATGGTTCGTTGGTCGTGTCGAAGATCCTTCTTGCAACCAACGAGGATGATAGGATGGCCAGAGCAGAAATGAAGGACCTCAGAGATCCACTATTTTTAAAGAATCTATTAGTATTCAGACAAACACCATTTTACGTCAGCGATTCCAGCTTCTTACCTTCTCTTGAACGTTGTCGAGTGAGTCGGGGGAGTCGATGGCGAAGCAGATCAGGATGACGTGGGAGTCTGGGTATGAGAGTGGGCGAAGACGGTCATAATCTTCCTGTCCAGCAGTATCCCATAGGGCGAGTTCAACGTGCTTTCCATCGACCTCGACATCGGCGACATAGTTCTCAAAAACAGTTGGGACATAGACCTTTGGAGAAAGTGTCAGCCAAGATATTGATATGTAATAGTCAAGGCCCGAAACGCTCGAAGGCAGCAGATCGGCGGTGGCAGATAATGAGAGGACTAACCTCGGGGAAAGTGCCCTTGGAGAAAACGCTGCAGGGGGGGGTACAAATCAGCATGGGTGCTTCCAAGCAAACGAGCAAACATGGTACCAGAGAGTAAGATCTGGCTCCAGGCAAAAGGGGTTTCTTTTTCACTCACATCAATAAACAGGTCTTTCCGCAGGCACCATCACCAACGATGACGAGTTTACGGCGGATCTCAGCCATCTATAAAGATAACAACCCAAGAAGGGTTCATTCTTATCAGTTTCTGAAGCAAGCTCAAAAGATAACAGGCAGACAGGGTAGGGAATATCGATGACGGAAGCAGGGGAAAAAAACCCCCCAAATAAAGCGGCAGGATTAGACCAAGAGACAGAACTCAGACTCTGGTGGCAAAGAAAGATGCTGGAGCAGAAGGAGGGAGGTATTGCAGGCAGTTACATACGATTTTCAAGGAGCAAGTGACTGGAAGAAGCTGGCAACAAGGGGAGAAGCAGAGAGTAGCAAAGAGAGCAGCAAGGCGTAAAGGGTTCGAGGCGAGAGCAGAACCTAGAGATGGAGAGGTATAATGAGAGCCTTACTGGAGCTTCTTCTTCTTTGTGCTTGGTGATATAAGATGTGGTTGTATGGGATGGAGAAGATGAGATGGTCGAAGGGGAAGAAGAACTGGAGGTTGTTTTAACGGGAGGTTGTTAAGCGTGCACAACTTGTCGCTGGTTTTTGGCTCTAGCCCGCTTTGGGTTATTTTGCATCCTTTGGGCGAATCAAAGTGGGGCCTCAAACACTTATTGGCCGGCTTAGTCACGATCTTATATACACGCACCCAGACATCTATATCCACTACACAGATGGCGGGTGCGTGGGGATAAAGTGGGATTACGTCGTCGTGCGTGGCTGCAGACTCAGCCTTACTCGCCTTTATTATCGTGTACATTCACTTTTACGAATATATACATTGTAAGGATATATTAGTTACTTATGGGGAAGTCAAGGGTAGATGTCATCACCCTCCTGTACCAGATAAGAGCTGAAGGTCACGCCATCATCGGCTAGCTTCAGTCACCGTTGGCCTAACATCTCACAGACTTCCCCCTCCAACCAGTTGACAGCCGTGAGACTGTTGGAGAATTCCATGATCTTCTGCCTTGCTGCGACCTTGCTAGAAAGTAAAAGCTGCGCCGGAGAGAAAAGGGACTTAGGCTGATTATTATTGAAGTTTGAGGCTGCAAATTTGATCGAGAAAACATCCTCAGTCACATGTGTTGAAAAAAAAAAAATCAGCAACCCGGTCTAGCGAGGTTCACTGTCCAGCTCAGACAACTAGGTCGAAGCTCGTCTTCTTAGCTCTCTTTTCTCCCAGAAAGCTTGCTATGTGTACTCCGCAGCGGAAAGAAGAACATCCTCCCTCTTAGCGTAGATGTCAAATGTCATCCCATCTCGTACCGTCAATCACTGCCCTGCTAGCCAAGCAGCCACAGGCTAACTTGACAACCAGTTTGGTGGCGGTGTCCTCGGTCGATTGTGGCTTGAAACGATGAAACCTCCACATTCTACCCCTTATCAGAACTTCCGTAGCCAATCATCCACCATTCATGAGAGTCAGTGTTTGAGGTGCCCCATTATTTAATTGGGTCTCTGCGGACGTTGAGGCTGGGACCATATATCTTGTCTGTCTTGCTATTACGACAGCTCACCTTCATTAATGCGACGGCTGTGATATTTTCGACAAGTTGAGAGGGGACTTGCCTCTCGCGCCTTCAACTCTTCTTGACCAACAGGGATTAAAAGCAATTGCACAGCCACACAGCCACACGGTTCAAGCGTTGTCTTTTCTGAGACACTTCTTTGTCGTTCAATAGCGTCTTGACTGACGCGTCTAGCTAGAAGACGGGAGAGATAACATCCCACAGCACGGAGTATTAAAGGGGTGCTTTAGTTATCCGTACTACTTGGAGCAGTCAGAATTCAATGAGTAAACAAGCTTAATGCCGGTTTCATTGCTTCGCTTCTTCTCTGCGAATAGAGCTAATCAGTAAATATGCTCGGAGTACCTAAGATATCACTGCGGTTAAAATGGAGAGACATCTGAATAAAAAGAAGAGTTACATTGTTCTCCAAACTCACTAGATTCATATTTTAGGGTCAAACTTCTTTGTCTATCTCGATATCAAGCGCTGTGCTTCCATATGTCGTCGTTAAACCGCTTCCTTGGGAGAAAGGTAGCGCCAAGATATATTTATATTACATAAGCTGGCCAAAAAATTGCAAACATGGAAGAAATTTGGACTTCAACTTGGAGGGTTTCCGACGAAAGACGTATTGCGGCCACCAGATACCAATGGAGAAAGTTCTACGGCGAGCTGCTCTCGCGAGCAACCAGGCTAAGCGGAAGGCAAAGGTTGTCCTTGAAAAAGACCGCCGCAACAAACTTCGGGGTGACCTGAAAGAGAAGTTTGCCTATAATCGAAGTCTGCTGGATGAAGCAATTGAGGAGCGAAAGAATCGTCGAGAGGACTGGTTGAAAGGACCGCTTGCCCCTCGAAGGAATATTGGTGAGCGCGATATACTCTACGGAACCATCTCGACAAATCGTCTGCGATTGCCTAAGGTCCCGGAGTCAAAGAGGGTGAAATATGTGACTTTGGCCCCTGGTGATCGTGTGTGCATGGTTAGAGGGAGAGACAAGGGCAAGATCGGTAAGGTTCTTCAGGTGGATGAAGAATCTCAGAGTGTTACTGTTGAAGGAGTGAATATGGTAATATATACTTATTTTCCCGGCCCCTGCTTCCTTTTCACTCTTTGCTAATTATATCCTTTCTCCAGTTTGATGTGGAATTCCCTTCGTTTGCATTAGCTGGAGACAATGATAAGCGTCCATACCGTCCATACCCTGTCCCAAATTCCTTTGATGACGTCCGACTTGTCGTCCCTCTCCAAGACCCCGTCACCAACACCGTCAAGGACGTTGTTGTCAAACATGCCTATGGAGCTGGTCCCTTCCTCGACCGCCCATATGGCTCAACCACCCCACGACACACTCGATACATCTCTGGATTAGACATTGAGATTCCCTGGCCCGAAACCGAGGAACCAGACTTCAAGGATCACCCAATTGACACTCTCCAAATCGAAGTAGAAGACAAAACATACATTCCATCCCTTCAGACCTACCCAATGCCTAGCACAGTGATTGATGAGCTAAGGAACAAATACTCCAAGTTCCGCACCAAGCATGACCCTGAATATATTGCAAAGAAGGAAGAAGAGGCTGCGTTTGAAGAGTGGTCGAAGCAGAGGACGCTCTTGACTCCCAAAACCGAGTACCTGACGAAGAAGACCGAGGAGAGGCGGCTGCAGAGAGAACAGGAGAAAGATGAGAACGGCAACTTCATATTGTCTGACGAGACTGTTAATTTTATTGAGAAGTTTATGGCAAAGAAGCAGGGTCAACGCAAGACAAATGTTGCGTAGTTGACCTGAAACCTGTCGGTCTTTTTCCTTTGAACACCTTTAACAAGGTCCATTGGGATTGTATATTTTGTCAAGCTGTATTAGAATTTTATGTGTACGATATTTTGAAATGGCGCGTTTATCCTGTCGTCACTTCTGGTACCAGCACCGGGCCAATTCTCCCAAGCGCGCTTCACGGTTATAATTGCCTGCCGAAGATTGTAGAACGTTAGCCCTTGCTATATACAACACCTTCTTTTAGTTGTAATAACATCAAAATTCCACCCAGGTGCTATCCGTTTTACTCAAAGCACTCCATCAACAAGTGTTACGAGCCACAGTTCGTTTGTCTGCTCGGCCGCAGAAAACCTTTTACCAACTTTCTTGAACATTTCACCTACTTCAACTTTTAAACCCAACCACCACCACACTAGGGAATCACATAATTGTGTACAGACAATATGGGGTTCATCACAGTGAACGAGGGGGCCATAAGCAGGGCGTTTAAGGAGAATCGCGTCTTGCAAGAACGCATCTACGAAGCTATCTGTGAGTGTTGAGCTTTTTTCTTCTCTAGGACGCGCGGGGAGTTGCAAATAAAACGCGAAACCAAAGCCATCTTCCCTATCAAGATGTGAGATGACAGAAAAGTACACTCTATACCTGAATGCCTGGCTAACTATGCTGATTTACCGATACCTCAGCCGAGTACCCCCAATGCGTTGGCCTGTTTGAAGACATCGCAAAGTTCATCTGCGCAGAACGGGAAGCTCACGAGAACAGGTTTCATAACTTCAACAGTATAGCACCTCCCACTGAGAGACTGCAGCAACAGCACATTAATCCCCTCGAAGGGCCGGCTCCTAAGAAAAGGAAAGTTGCCAATGGGCACGCTGGGCCTGTTGCTCCTGGGACCATGGGGGAAGCAGACACTGCGTTGATTGCCGGTCTACAGGCAGAAGCAGAGCTACAGCTATACGTTCAGGATCTTTCATTTACGATTCCACAGAGAAAGAAACTCAGACTAGAGTTTACACAAGAGCTGAGAGGCGGGAATGAATATATTAGAGCTAGAAACCAGGCCTCTGGTGAGGTTGAATTTGGCGTACCAGTTGCAAAAATCCGTGAGTTCTGATTGCCATTCCTGACCCTTTTGGCCTTGTATTTGTTTATTCTTACAAATTTACATCTAGAACATGTTCTCTGCCTCCCAGTCCCCGAGAAAGCGCAACGACAGTTCAATTTTTGCATCATACCTGAATATAAAGATGGAATCACTAGTGCTCCTGACGGAATGATTACGTTTGAGCCTATGGTCTGGACGGTGCCTGATGCACCTCCCCGAAGTGCATATTTGGGGTCTGGTACTCCGGTAGTGGAAAGTGCCAGCCTAGCGGAGACGTATCAGACTTACTTCCAGAGCGTCCTAAATGGAAAGCTGAAGCATGTCAAGGTGTCATGCCCTGACGAGAAGGAGTTTGTGAGTGCGACACCTGAGGCCCATCGAAAGTCTGAGAAGGCGTATCACGTCAAGGCCTTCCGAGGCAGTAAAGAAGGTACGTTCTATTCTTCCCCCAGTGCAGCTCTCTCACACAAGTTGGCCATTTCTAACCGGACCTGTCTGATCTGAACAGGGTATCTCTTCTTCCTGGCCACGGGTATCTTTTTCGGTTTCAAGAAGCCCGTCATATTCATTGCCTTTGAAAATGTGGAATCAATCTCATATACGGCTGTGCTTCAACGCACGTTCAACTTGAACATAACCACCCGCTCTGCCATGAAACCAGACGAAGTCCAAGAATTGGAGTTCTCGATGATCGACCAGACTGATTACCCCGGCATTGACGCATACATCAAGAAACACGGCCTACAGGACGCAAGTCTGGCCGAGGAGCGCCGTGCAAAGAGGCTTAACATCAATGCCCCTAGGGGTGGAGAAGGAGGGGATGATGAAAATGGAAAGAATGACGGCAACGCTCCCCAGGCAGAGGAAGAGGAATCCGAGTTACAGAAAGCCCAGAGGGAGCTGGAGAGTCGACAGGCGGACCAGGAGGATGAGGAGGAAGATGACTATGACCCCGGAAGTGATGGAGAGAGCGAAGGTAGCGGCTCGAGTAGTGAGGAGGAGGAAGACGACAATGCTCAGGGGGACGATGCTGGTGCCGATGTGGACATGGGTAACGAGTGAGGAGGGTAGACGTTGCCAATTTTCAACGTTTGGAAACTCCCATGCTGGAACATGAGGGAGCTTAACACTGCCGCGTTATTATTTACTTGTTTACTCAGTACCTTGCCAACCCTATTCTCTTATTGTTATAACTATGTAGTTTGTCGGGGTTGCTTGCTGTATGTTGGACCATCTTCTTATCGCTTTTTTTTTAACCATCAGCTGTTTCATCAACATGTTATAGACCTGAATGTGTAAATCTTTACTGCCTAACAAGCATGATCCCACCACGGAAATTGATAACATCGTGTACAGGTTTGGAGACTTAACACAACCTTTTAGTCATGTACTTTCATTATATACTACGATTAATAGCGAATCCACACAGTTATATGCCGGATAGCTCGCGACTCGAGCCACTTACATCTGCTCGGCTGGATGCTCAGGTTTCGTGCATTTTGAGATAGATGAAGGAGAAGTGAAAAAACCACGATTAGGCGAAGAGTTCCTAGGGTTGCCCCTGATAGGGGCATCGCCTATCTAATATGCGACGGAGTACCCATCAGCTCCGCTATAATATACAACGTTAAATATGTTTTATTCAACAGTTCTTGCCGCTCGTTGAACGAAGCTTTCGTCGCCACATCTTGAACCACAGATGAACCCCCTTGCTCACCTATAACGGTGATCTTATTTTCTTCTACAATACTCAGTAACGCTTCCAACGACCAGTGATTTAACTACCATCATCCCTGGTTAACGGGCCTTAGTGCAAAGGATACGGATGACTTTGATAACATGGATATCTCGCTAGTTGCTTCGTCAGAAAGGGAGCTCACGGGACTATCTAATATCTCTCCAACACAGTTTGGTGTCGGTCGGCGTTAGTAGCCATTCATGGTAGCCTACGGTCGAATACTACCTGCGAAACTGCGGTCACGCCTAGTTGTAGGTCTTCCACTATACCTTTCAACGAAGGCATTTGAATCCCATCTAGCCATCTGCAGGGGCTGGGCATTGCTAGAAAGAGCGTCTTTAACTCATCTTGATGCAACAGATACGCCCTCTCAGGAATTATCTCAGGCAGTTATCAAGAGTGAGGGTGTTGAAACCTAGGAAATCCAATAGATCAGATGTAGCTAGAGGAGGATTGTTGTGCCCGAAAGCACAGTGGTGATATCAAGTCTCCTGGGAGGATTTGCCGCATAGTTGCCTTTAATTTCTCTAGGGGCCGAGCTCACACTGCGTAACAAACCCCACATAATGAATGATCATACTATATAATCACTCATCATATCAGGTGAATCAGGAGGGCTTACTGACGGCCAAAAGTGCAGTATTTCATAACATATCAGAGATATCCCAAAACGGGATAGAAGATTCTGTCATTATACTTGTTAGGCTCGAGGGCGACCACCAGCTCGAGAACCGTAGCTTTCACAGTAATGTCATCTTAAAAGGCATCAGGGATCCCTTCGCAGTTCACCCATATGAAATTAATCTCCATAAAACCCCCAATTTAGTGGTGCTATCGATGACCGGTTTCTCGCCGTAAACATGGTTTCTTTCCCTGGGTAAAACTGCAAGGCACGGAGATCGGTTGAACAAGCGTGGGTTTGGCTTGGTCAAGATCCAGATACTCCTCCAGTTGGTAGCTGCAGATCAGCAATGTGGGAATCTAGGGCGGGAGTAAAGTGGTATGCTTGTTTCGGTATATTAACGGTGGTAATGTACCATAGCAGGTGTTGGAGTGGTAATATAAACTACCCTAGGATGGTTATTCAAGCTGCAAGACCGAACAGGAACAACCTGGAGAGACGGAAGTTGGTAAAAGTACCAGTGGTTGAATAAAAAAAGGGCCCAACATTTTAGGCATAATTATTCATTAGTGTGAAGTGACTGATTGAAAAAGAGTCCCCACTGCAACTTACCTTGGTTTGATGTTATAGTGCAGTCATAAAAATTCAGTATTGAAATGCCAACTGGGAAGCACAAAAAAATATCGGATCTACTAGGTACGACATGGTAGATGCATACCAGGCAATGCTTGGTAACCAAACCTATGAAGTGATAGAGTGAGCTTTCGCAGCTCTCACGCTCTTAAAATATCCAACCGACAGGCGCTATATATAGAATGATCACCGACAAGGGTAAGGTCTTTTTGTTCCTGGGGAAATGAAGAAAACGAGAGAACCAGTGATGTTTTTATAAGGAGTAACCTTTTATGGTGGCCGTTAACAAGCCGAGGGCCACGGCAGGGATAGTGAAAAGAGAATCCGAATCCCTCAAACACACCAAAAAAAAAAAGGGTTCTTCCATGACATGCATACGATGGACGATGGAGTCATCCCGTATATATATGTATCAGAGGCAATGGAGTTATGTGTGTTGCCCTTTCGCGACGGAGTATCGAAAACTCCTGCCATTGATCGCTTTCTCTTTCTCGAAGGGCCAGCGGTCACCGTCTTGGCGCGCCGGCGTTTATAGCCAACCTTGGGATTATCTGCACTCCGGACAAAGTCAGGCGACGGTCGAGCTAGAGGATGAGGAGGAACGAGGGCAACGGAGGACAAGGAGGTGGGCGTTCAGGCGCAGAGCCTGTCACAACCCCTGCATGCGTCTTTCTTGCGTATCAGGGTGTGAACTGCTGCCATGGCTGTGCAGGTTGTAGTATTCTATACTCGACATCTTCTCTCTTCTCATTCTGTTTCTCTTCTCCTTTTTTCTGTTCATCTTCTTCTACTTGTCTTTTTTTTTTCTATGTTTTCTTGAATGTAGGGGGGGAAAAAAAAAGGGAGAAAAGAGTTTCCTGTTTCGGCAGCGCCCGTGACTGACCCGCTTTCTGACCAATCAGACATAGAATACATTACCAAGAGGCGCAGATACAGTAGTGATACAAAAATACAAGGGCCAAAAGGGTGTAAACAGGGGCGGGAAGGAGGGAATGTGCGTGTACTGCGTGTATTCCAAATACGACCCTCTCTCTTCTCTCTCTCTCTTCCTTTCTCCGGCTTCTTCTTGCTTTTCGGGTTGGGGGAAAAGAAAGGGAAAGCCTTCTTCTTCCTCTTCTTCTTCTTCTTCTTCTCCTCCTCCTCCTCTTTCTTCCACTTCTCCAAACCGAGTGAAGCTGAAGCCGGACGTGGATGGTCCTTCGTCGTGACCTCGTCTCACTCCTTGCTTACTCTCTCCCTCTCTCTCACTCTTCTCTCTTCTCTCTCCTGTCTCTCTCCCTGACCAGATTCTCCTCCCCTCGTCGTTTACTCCTCCTTGACCTGCTACAGGCGATAGACTTGCCCTCAGTCCTTTGATTCACTTCCTCTACTTGGGTCTCTTAGAAAGGGTAGCCTGTACGGAGTAGTATATCGACGCTCTCTTTGACGACTCGCCTACTCTCTCCCTTCTCGCCTAGTCGTTCCCCTAAAAACAACTCCCGACCCTCGACGTTGAGACACGCCGCTCCCCACAGTATTCGCATAATATACCCGCCAGATCGTTGAGCCTTGTAGCTGTGCCTGTACCGTTTTGCCTGTCATGTCTTCTAACAGCTCATCAAACGTCGTGGGTGTGCATTACCGGGTTGGGAAGAAGATTGGCGAAGGGTCTTTTGGCGTCATCTTCGAAGGAACAAATCTTCTAAACAACCAGCAGGTTGCAATCAAGTTTGTACGTACTCCTCTCTCTCGCTCTCTCCCTCCCTCTCTCCCGTTCCCTTTTTTTATCATTACTCTTTTCTTCGATTGGGTCGAGATCGAGTAGAAATCTCTTACACCTCGCCACTCTAGGAACCCCGGAAGAGCGATGCTCCACAACTTCGAGATGAATACCGGACATATAAGATACTTGTCGGGTGCCGTGAGTTGACCCTCCCTGTCCGTACATACATGGGGAACGTCTTGTTGACCCTGATGTTTTAGCCGGTATTCCCAATGTCTACTACTTCGGCCAAGAAGGCCTACACAACATCCTTGTCATTGACTTGCTCGGACCCAGTTTGGAGGACCTGTTCGATCACTGTAACCGAAGATTCTCCATAAAGACGGTCGTCATGGTTGCAAAGCAGATGGTAAGCCATACCGTCATCACAACCACCAACGCAAAACTAACGATTCTCTAGCTTTCGCGAGTACAAACTATCCATGAGAAGAACCTCATCTATCGGGATATTAAACCAGACAACTTCTTGATTGGTCGACCCAACTCAAAAGCCGGCAATGTTATACACGTCGTTGATTTTGGAATGGCTAAACAGTACCGAGACCCCAAGACCAAACAGCACATCCCATACCGAGAGAGAAAGTCGCTATCGGGCACTGCTCGATACATGAGTATCAATACCCATCTCGGGAGAGAACAGTCGCGTCGTGACGACCTCGAAGCTCTCGGCCACGTATTCATGTATTTCCTACGTGGTGGTCTGCCATGGCAAGGCCTCAAGGCTGCCACTAACAAGCAGAAGTACGAAAAGATCGGAGAGAAGAAACAAACCACTGTCATCAAGGATCTATGTGAAGGATTCCCTGGTACGTACTTTTGCTTGTGCTTTGTGCTTCATAGAAGAATAAACTAACAACACCATTACAGAGGAGTTTACCAAATATCTTACCTATGTCCGAAACCTCGGATTCGAGGACACACCCGACTATGATTACCTACGTGACCTCTTCACCCAAGCTCTCAAGAGCACAGGTGACGTAGAAGATGGAGAATATGACTGGATGAAGCTAAACGGAGGAAAGGGTTGGGAGGCTGCAAAGCCATACTCTTCCCACCACCACTTGCACGGCGCCAATGCTCTGCCTAATACCTCCGCCCGTGACCTTCATGGTTCTGCAGCCCCCCGAGCATCCCATCGGCCTGGTGTCACCGCTGACCGTTTAAACGCCGCGCAGCCCCCGCCCCCTTCTCTGCAAGCCGGAGTTGGGAAAGCGCGAGAGCGGCCAACGCCTCAGCGTGCCGCAAGTCAAACGTCAAACGGAGTGGCGGGGGG